TCTCACTTCTCACACTCAAGTCACTCACTCTCACTCTCACTCTCACTCTTACTTTCTCTCTCTCTCACTCTTGCCTGACACTCACCTAGGTATTCCCTTCCCCCCTTACGAATAGGTACACACACCTTCTTCTACACCTTTCCGTCTCCACCTTCCCCGGTCACATTCAATCTTGGCCTCAAACACGAACCGCGTCCACCGATCATTTGGAACCGTCATTCAACCCAAACCAACCATCGCTCTTAGCTCTTGTCTTCTTACAACCACACGTCCCAACGCATTTCCATCCAACAACGCCTTACCCGCCAAATTACCCATCAAGGCAAACAGTCCTTTTTTTTCCTTACCCAAAGAGTCGAGCTGAACCGCGAGTCTTTGTCGCTTGATTTTCGACAACTCGGGGGTTCACTTGATTTGTTGCGACCGCATCAATTAATTCGATCGGAACACAACCCCACGAGAAATCAGCCGCGATGGAGACCGCCACCGAGGTCGAAACAAAGCAACCGTCAGTTGCGCCCTCAGAGCAGCAGCAACAGAACCCAGTTGCCGAGACCCCTACAACCACAGAGTAAGTTGCCTCTTTGTCTCTTTACCGCCTCTCCATTCTCTATTCTTGATAGCTGCATTTGAGTTACTGTCACTTGATGCTTCCTTCTTCAATTGCTGCTGTACCAAGTACAAGAACCGCGCGCTATGACCAGTGGTGAAGTCATACACAATGGGTCGGCTTCAGACTTGCCTCTGCGATCCATCATCACAGCCTTCAAGTTCCTGCTTCATTTTTCTACTTCACAGTCCGCACCTACCTCAACTTCCTTCTCAGTGTCGTGGCCACACGGAAACTCCTTTCCTTCCTTCCCTGACACTGCATCTGACGGCGCTTCTAGCTTCGGCCACTAAGCTAGGTTCCAAGGCCGCCAAAGTCCCCTCTCGTCATCCCCCTTCCACTTCAACCAGCATCGACCCCTCCCTTGATTCAACCACACCTCTCTTCCCATCAATCAACCAGATCACTTTCCTCCCATCAACTATTGTGCCTTGCCACAAGTACACACACACTCTCTCTCTCACTCTCAGATCCCCTGCTTCCATAGCCTCGTTGAGCATTGGTCCCGTTGATTGTGCGTCGCAAATATTCTGTCTTTGTTCTCACCCTCCTGCGACCCTCTCAGAATGCCGTTCCGACGAGACTCCCACCTCAAGAGCACTCCCGAAGAGCCCTCTGTCCCTATCAAGGAGGAAAGAAGGTGCGTCGCATTCCGTTGAGACTTCTAAACCCCTATCTGAGTTTCCTGATTCTTTACTCTCTCTGTGCAAATCAGAGTTCCAATGTATTTTTGGCAACTGTCAAAAGTTCGATGCTTGTGGCTGGTTTGCTTGCTTTGGACAAGAGTGCAACTGGCGAGTTGCCAAGAGGCGCATGTCAAGTCAGGAACAAATGTGCCCGATTCATGTACACCATCCGCTTTGGATACTCCATGGCTTCCTCCTACCCCTGCTCAACTCGAGTCGTTTACCTTTCTTGGTCTTGCGCAATTGCTTCTTTACCGGCGATGCTTTTCCTCTCTGCCTTTCTTACCATTGGACGGGGCTCCCACTTGGAGTCATGGCCAAGCGCCACCGACTTGGTTGGCAAAGACCTCATCAGGGTCGCAAGTGCACCTGTTTAGGGAACATTTCAACAACTTTTGGAGGACGACGAACTCAATTGTGGACAAGCATATACTGATACAATTGCAGGCTCAGCAGTACCAATGGCGTTAAGCCACCAGCTCTGGATGACGACGACACCGCCAACGACGATGACCTTAGCCCGCCTCCTGAGAACTTGAGCCCTGTCTCAGGCAGTCATGATCGTGCTTTGGAAGATGAGATTGTTGTCGGCAACCGCAATGGTGTGCAAAAGTCGTCGCCCCTCCGCGTTGTTTCTGATCCTGAGGATGAGAACATGGCGGATGTCGAGGATGAGCCAGTCGTCTCCCACTACCCTAAGCGGAAGCGCGCGTCTGTCTTCAACGACTTGAGTGAAGATAAGATGGAGAGCAGCCTTGTCTCAGAGAAAGAGGGCACGCCACGCAGCACCAAGCCAGCCCGTAGGCATGGACTGGGTGGTGTAAAGGGCGTCATTCTCGGTTATTGGCGCGATTCGCCCGTTCCCGACCCCAGAGGCAAGCATGCAGTTATTGGCTTCATCGATGTCCGCGATCGCCTCCGCACTCGCATTCAACAAAACACCCGCTTCGGCGAGCCGGTCTCGAGTCTTGAGTATCCCCTTCCGCCCGGACCAGGTGGCAGTTGGGTGACCTTTGAGCGTGTCGTGTTCGCAGACCACCTGGTCGGTCTGGACCACCACCAAGTGAAGGAATATGTCAAGCTTCGAACGGACTCCATCGAGATGACGGAGGAGGCGCGTGATGCTGCAGAGCAAGCTGCGGCCAAGGAGGCGGTTCGACGCGTCGAGGAAAATCCTCCCCCCGAGAATCCCGTAGCGCCCGCCATCGCATACGGTGCAGAGATTCCCGACCACGCCACAATGCCTAACCGCCCGGACTCCAAACGTCGCCGCACTGGTAGTGGCATCGGCACGATCAGCGGACGACCGGTTCAGCAGACGCCGCCAGCACAAAATATCGTGACGACTCCTCAGTTCGACCCTCTGCCAGGCACCAGACCTACGCGCATCATCGTGGGTTACTGGAAGGGCTCCAGCGAGATTGACCCCGTGAACAAGCACGCCATCTATGGTATATTGGGCCAGAATGACATGTTCCGCGTCAAGGTGGCGCGAGAGACGCGTGATAAGCGCTTCGTGGACGGTAACTTCCCTGTTGGAGCGGGCGCGCTGTGGATTCACTGGGAAGAGGTCGAACTGGAGCCTCACATTAAACAGTTGTCTCGCCCCGAGGTGAAGGAGTATTGCCGTGTCCGTCAATACCAAATCGACCAGGGAGAGAACCCCAACGACCGAGTCGGAAATGAGGCCAGGGCAGTGTTTGAGGCCCAGCAACGCGTGGCAAATGGCACCAACAAGGCTTTCATGAACATGGGCCCGCCTCCCGTCATTGTTCCGCAGCCAGGAGAGATGCTCGAAGCACCCGAGACCAAGGTCGAGGTGAATCCCGAATTGCGCCAGAGCCGCAGGACGGAGAACCGCGGCGTTCGGCACTCCTTGCCCGATCTCGACGTAAGACAGTCATCGCGAACCCCGGTACAAGCACAGAACAAGATCGACGCCAGCGCACGCCGCGAGATCGCCCGAATCGAGGCCGCACAAATTCGGACCGAGCGTTTCGCCGCTGACCGCGAAGCTGCTCAAAACGCCCAAGCTGCCCAAGCTGCCCAGGTTGCTCAAGCCGCCCACATGGCCAACTTGGTGCCTCCTCCGATGCCGCCGCAAGCTATGCCTAAGATGCCTCTGCAGAACGGCAACGGCAACGGCCCCCGCATGAGCAGCCTTTTCCACGAGCGCGACGAGATGCAGCGCCTTAACAAGGTGTGGGCCAGCCAGGAAGAGCACCGTAGCAAGGTTGGAGGCGAAGAGACCAAATTTTACGGTGGTATCAAGTACGAACGCAAGACCAACGGTCCCTTTGTCGGCAAACTCGTCTCGCAAGGCACCATTATCAGTATTGACGGACAGGACTATGTCGAGTATCGCGTACTCACGAAGCCGAGTTTCTTCTAGGCGACCAAGACAGGGCGCTTCTCGCGTCTCTAATCACTTTTACATGTTCGGTCAATTGGCGTCCGATGAGCGACGACCGCCAGATTGTGGAACTCATCCGGGGCGCAGAGTCTCAACGGATCTCTCTCTTTTTCGGTACTGGGTTTAACGGATGAAGGATTGGGGATTTCCTTTGTTTCTTCTCGCCACAAAAAGGAAGCGAGGTTCGGCGGAAAACGGGTCTTTCCTATTATACCCCCTCTCAACCTTTTCCGATTAATTACTTTTTTCTTTTTTTTTCATCATTTCGGCGTGGAAAAGCCAGCTTGGTCTCGTCATCGGCCGCGGAGAATTCGCCGAGGAGGGGACTACTATACCATGTTTCATTTGTTGTTCTGCTCTCGCTAGTAAGAATGGGTACCTCTCAGACAGAGGTTGGAACAGAGCGGAAAGGGGGAAAAGCGCAGGACCGATGCTAGGGTCCGTTGTTGTCAGTAGCTTTCAGATAGCCATCAAATGAATCGTCTAAACTCGTGTGGCATTTGTGGACGTTTGTAACCAAGCCACCCAGCTTGCCTGGGCACGATGTAGAGAGACTCATCGTCAGAGTCGGAGTCAACTCCTTTTGCGCTTCTCATGCCCCCGACCTTGGTTTTTGTCCATCCATCGAGAACTCTGGCGAGATCCAGGAGACTCATTCGACCGTCAGGTGGGAGATTCTGAGTCTGCATCACTTTCTTGAAGCTCTCTGCTCAAGCGCCTTGATGGTGAGAGATTCTGAGTCTGCAGTACTTTTTCAAGGCTCTCTTCAAAAACCTTGATGGTTGGTCGCTTTCTAAAGGGTATTCTACAAGGAATATTTGGAAAAATACAAAGGATGATATAAAGGATAGAGAAATAAGGATAATAAGCGTAGTAGGCACCCTTCCTGAAGTGGGTTGATGGAAAGCCTGAGAAGTTCATTGGGCTCACGAGCCCATCCCCCACGAGCAGTTGAGGAGCTGACGCGTTTCAACGAGACCGATAGTGATGAGGATGATACTGATAGCGGGCGCGATTGATTTTCGGTGCATCTGACGGGGACGGGCTTTATCTTCTTCTTTGCCATCTTGTTTCTTTGTTTTATTTCTTTGCGTCGCATCTCGAGAGCTTGGGTTTCCGGCTGGGTAATCTTTTTGCGGACCGATCCTACCATTGCATGCGCCAAGCAGCCTGAAATCATGCCCATATATATATATAGGCATCATCGCAGGATCAAAAACAACTTTGATTAGGTAGTTGGAATCTTCAATCTACCCCAAACGTCCCAATCACATCCAACGCGCTTCATTCCTCACTTTTCCTGATCAAAATCATAGCTATTCCCAAACCCCCTCCCCAGATACTTACGCAAGGCCTCCTCCCTCGTCGTCCAATCCACGGGCATCTCCAGCTCATTCTCAGCCTCCTCGAGCAGAAGAGGTCTCATGTCCTCGGCGAACTGCAACCGCATCGGATTCCGGTACCAGCCCGCGAAATGAATCATGGCTAGCATGACGCGCACGTCGGGTGAGGTGTTTGGCATGCCGGCGTGCCAGAGGCGGAGGTCGCGGATGACGATGCTGCCCTTTTCGATTGTCGGCTGCGAGGGGCCGCGGACGGCGCGGCGGAGGGAGAGGAGGTGTTGTTTTATGCGGCCGCTAGAGCGGTCGCCGTGGAGGGTCTCTTGCGATTCTATGCCGGAGGGGATGATGACGGAGGAAGAGATGGATGTGGTGGTGGACGGGGATGAGGGGAGTAGGTAAGGTGCGTGGGTGCCGAGCCAGAGCTCCGTTGAGCCGTTGGAGGGCGTCATCTCTACGAGGGGGATATTGATTACGAGGGCAAAGGGGTGGGACGGGTGGTTGAAGTCTGCGTCGGAGTGGACTGGTTGGCGTTGCGGTGTTGAGCCGGGCACAGAGGAAGAAGGCATGGCGGAGTTTGCGGAGCAAAAGGTCCATTTTGGGCGGGGGCCTAGGAGAGAGGAGGTGATTTGCGTTGCTATAGCGTCTGTTATTTAGGTTGCGAGTTAGTATGAAGATGTGAGGATAGAACGATGGCCCATGAGAGGATGGGCATGAGGCTAAGGGGTGGTCGGTAATGAACTCAACTTGTAAAGATTGACTTGTAGAAGTACTCGGCCACGGGGGGCGGATCTTGTTGTAGGTTTCCGAAGTTATAGTTGAAGGGGCCCTTGTCGCCCAGGGATTGGAGGTAGAGCGCGTCCTGGACCATTTTGGCGTTGAGGGCGTCGAGGTCTGCGTGCGGGATTACGTCGGCGACGACGACGAGGCCGTCTCTGTGGAGGTGGCGGACGGCGAGTTCGAGGTTACGAGGGGAGAGGCGGGCGTTCAGGAGTTCGGACTGTGAGGGGTGGATTGTTTCTGGTGTTGTTGGGAGGGGTTCTTCGTTGTGATGGTGATGGTTGTCGTGAATGTTGGGTGTAAGTGAGGCCATTGTTCGGCGGGTGGGGGGGATGCGAAGACGAGATGGGAGGGTCGAGAGAGGGAAAGGGAAGCGTGGACGGAGGAGCATTGTTGGTGAAGAGATTGCTTTCATGGTTGAGGATAGATGGGTATGAGTAGACGTCAAGTTCGATCAGCTTGATGAGAGAGAGAGAGAGAGAGAGAGAGGTACGTGAATTCTCATGCATTTATATCCCAAAGTGAGGAGGTTTGGGAAGTCCCCTGACCCCAATTCCGAGCTCGGGTTTGGATGACACAACGTGCATCCCTCCCCTGTCCACCCCCAGGTTTCCCCAGGTTTTCTCCAAACCCGAGCTCGGGGTACGCTAACCGACGCCCCCTCTACACGGACAGCAAGCAATCCCTTTAACTAACCGTCCTCTCATTCGTTGTCTGTTTCTGCTGCTGCGAGCGGCGGCCGTGGTGAACCCCTCCATCCCGCCTCCAAGTCCGAGACGAGTCTCTGGACGGGCCAGCCGATTGTCCGTTTACACGCCAAGAGGCGGCGGATCAGCTCCTGTCGCGAGGCTTCTGCTCTGATGAATCGTGCGCCTGTGAGAAGTAAGTTGAATTTTGTAGATCAGCCGGTGGGGTTATGGTCGGATAGATGCATGTAAGAGACCTAGCTCGGAAGACTTACAGAATGCAATAGGGCCAAAGGCGTTGACTTGGACAGAGGGCGTGTTGGCGGTGAAGGCCACGCCGCAAACATCAAGTGTGAGGAGCTCGAGAATGTTATTTCTTGTGTCTTGCGTGCTGACACGGTCGTCTAGTGTGCTTTGAAGATCCGATAGCTGTTGCGGGTTTGCATGGATGCAGAGTATTGTTATGGCGACGAGTTGGTAGTGCAGGGTCGCCGCTGGTAGCCTCTCTCTCAGCTACTTGGATAGAGGTATCGTAAGAATTGGGAGCTTACCGTGATGATCTCTGAGCAGCCATATGGATGGCAAGGCGAGGCCGAGACCGCGGTCAACCGTGGAGAAGGGTTCAAACCTTGTCGGTAGACCTTTACGCCATTCACATAGCAGCTGGAATAGATCGGACCACGATCCATCTGTGACTGAGTTCGAGCCTGAATCTATGAAGCATGCATTGATGATGCGGCCCAGAATGAGAGTGACGGCGTTGAGACGGTCATGATCAGTACTTTGACCCGTCATCAGAAGGGCTAGCGGGACCTGAGCAAGATCCATCTTGAGGGGGCATCTTCTGAATAAGCTAAAGGTGATGTCTTCACGGAGGTAGTTCCAGAAGCCTGCTGCTCGGAGGCCGGACCCAAGGGCGTCGGTCTGAAGGGTGCTGTATGCTGCCAGGGAATATGCCCCCTGGAGGTGCCTATTTGGATCGACCTCTTCTGCTGCCTTCTTAGTTACCGTGGCATTTAATTCCAAAGTCCCAAAGGTGCGTGCGAAGAAAGTAGGGAATGACCACAGGGGACGAACCACTCAAAATCTCATACGACCTTAAAAGGCAGACGGAAGCCAGCGCAAGCCCCTGCGTTCGCTCGTCATCGTCGTACTCCTCTGTCTTCAGGTCAATCAGCAAGCGGACGCAGTGGCCATGGTAGAACTCGGCCGCCGCTCTGGCAGACGGCGCGGTCGTCCGGCTTGTGTGGACCGCGGATAGTGCCAAGATGGCGGCAAAGGGCAGCGGGCTGTCGAGGGCGGCTTCGGGGAGACTGGTGGCGAAAGTGAGGGATGCATCGCTGAGATCGTACCACGGCGCGATGCCGGCGATGTAGTGGGAAAAGTAGCGTGCTATGGACGGGTTCTGGAGGGCTTTGCGGGGGTTTGTTGGCGGTGGGAAGAGACCCTGTGGCTCGTTTGCTGTTGGTTGAACATGTGAGCAGTTAGACGTTCAAAGAGTCAAAAAGGATTGAGATGAGCGTAGAATACACTCACTGGCGATGTCGGGCTTTGCTGTATCCTCCTGGCTCGTGTTGAGTTGTGGGAGCGGAATGGTGCGATCACAGTATCGCTGAGCCTTGCGGCAACGTTGGCACGCGGGCAGAGCCTCGTCGCCTAATCTCGTATTAATCGGAGGATCTCATACCATGGTGTCATGGTGGATGTCTGCTTACATTTGATCTTGCGGACGCGGCAGGTGTTGCTGGTGGCACTCGTCAGCACGATGATCTGCCGATGAGCGGTTAGACGCTAAGTTCTTTCTTGTTTTACCATGCTGCGTTGAAGTCAGAATTTTGTTCAAGAAGGACGTTTGATGTGCGCCACTGCGTCAAGAGTGTGTCTTACCTGCCTGGTTTAGGATACGAGGCATCGCTTCTCGCACAATTTCTCTGGTCTACAAAGATGGAAGGAAGGTTAGGAACAGAGAAAAAGAAGTAGCGAAGACTGAGTGGATAAGGTACCTAGGTACCTAGGTACTTTGGCTTGTGAGATGGTTACTATGAGGCAAGGAAGCGACGACCAAGACGTACGCGCCGGTAAAATCGCAAGTTGGTAAATGGTATCAAAGAATAAAGCAAATTGTTGTTTTGAGTGAAAACCTCCAACTCCCCGTTCCCATGACTGAACGGCCGGTACACCGCGCTCGGAGCGGACGGGAGAGCGGGGCACCGGCGGCGATCCCGTCTCACCCCGGATCGCCGGCAGCCATGTCCCTAAGCACTAGGATCGCCAAGCCCCAAAGATCAGCACGCAGGGCTAAAGAGGCGCTGCTCTAGCGAACGGCTTATGACATAAAATCACGGAAATAGAATGTCCTAAAGAATCCGAGGTGAAGAGTGTCATGAGGTTGGACTAGTTTAGTACCGCCACGACGAGAAACGTTGCATCACGAATGATGAAGAATGATCCGAGTTCACTTTACATATAAACCCAATATTGCTGCCGTGATGAGATTCCTATTTCCAATTCACCATTACGAACAAGAACAGCCAATTGCAAAATATCATCAACTACTACCTCTTTGCATTCATCAAACAACTAAACTCAAAATGTTCGCCCAGGCCCTCGTCAAGACAACCCTCCTCGCCGCAGTGGCAACGGCAGCCAGTCTCCCCGTCAGACAAACAACACCCACCTTCCGCCTCGCAGCCAACGTAACCAACTTCGACCTCACGCCCTCCATCCAGGGCCAAGAGCTCACCTACACCCCAACCCCAGACTGCGCAGCCAACGTCGTCTTCGGGCCAGCCGGCCAGGGTGCCGAGTTCTACGCCAGCGGCAGCACCGTCAACGTCGCGCACCTCTCTGCTGAAGACTCCTCTCCTTCAGCCGGGTTCATCGTCACACCCGGCGGCACGGCGACGGTGCCGAGCTTGAACACCGTCCAGCTGCAGCGCGGGGCTGGGACATCCGGTGTCGAGGTCGTCGATGGGAGTCTGCAGTTTGAGGATGGGTTCTGGATGGCGTGTCCTAGGAACGGCAGCGTTGTGCTGAGTTTCAAGAAGGCTGGGCAGAGGACCCTTCTTGGGTGTGCTGATGTTCAGCTTCTTAGCGTTTAGAAATACTCGAAAGGCTTGGAGATGGACTGACTGCATTGAGTCACGGGTAATACATGGCGGGTATGGCAAAGAGGACATGGTATTCATAATGTTTGGGTAATCTTCATCGCATTGGTGTATATAGACAGGCTGCATTGACATCAGGGCTATACACGAGGGAAGTAGATAACGGCATAGGTTGGAGTTTTGATCTTTAGACCCTGTTATTCTCTAATCTCATTTGCATTTCATGAAGCGTATAACCCCGCGTCGCTCTGTCCATGGCCATTCACCTAGCATACCCATCCGTCCTCCAGCTTCCCTTTCTACCCATCTCACGTCGTGCAAAGCCCCACAAACTCGCAAATCTCCTGATTAAACTCCTCTGGTTGCTCATAGAACAGCCAATGTCCAGCCTCATAGATAGAAAACGTCGCCAAACCAGGCCGGTTCTTCTCCACCCTCCTAACCGTCTCACGCATACCCTCGAGCGGGAAGCACCCGGACTTGCGCCCCGCCATCACCAGTGTCGGCACGCTAATCATCTCAATCGCTTCTCGGTGGTCGTACCGCGTATGGTCCGCCAACAACCTCGCAAGCCACGCCTGATCGCACAGCGCACTGATCCCCGTGAAGAAGTCCTCGTCCTTCTTCCTCACTTCGGCAGAGACGTTGTCCGCCGCGTCAGGCTTCGCGCGGTATCCCAAACACCCGTCCACGAGATCAACATGCGCCGCCGCCGAATTCTCCATCCAGAATTTCTGTGCGCCGAGCATGCTCTTCTCGTCGTAGCAGCCCGTGTGCGCCAAGCTCTCATCCCACCCGTCAAACTGCGAACGATCCTGCAGCGGCGCCTGGTCGACAAACACGAAACCCGCAAAGTCCGCGCTCCCAAAGAGCTCGACGTACGTCCAGAGCACCGCGGCACCGATGGAGCAGCCGACGGGAATAATCTTGAGGTCGGGCGAGGCGGCGCGCCGCAGGTGGTGGACTAGGTCGCGGAGGTCGGCGGCCAGGCGGGCGACGTGGTAGCCGCCCTTTGTGCGGTCCGATTTGCCGTGGCCGCGCATGTCCGGGGCGACGACCCAGATGTCGTCGGAGGCGATGTCATCGGCATTGCGGTAAAAGTAGTCTGAGGAGCCGCTGAAGCCGTGCATGAGGAGGACGCAGCGGGTTGCGGAGGCGGCGCCCGTGAGGGGGAGTGAGGATTGGAAGGCGAGTTTGCAACCGTCGTTTGCGCCGCAGTGGGCGTAGTGCATGCTTGAAGTCGCCATTCTTTTTTGGTGAGATGTGTTGTGAGAGGACTGTGAGGCGAGGTGAGAATTGATGGGAAGTTTTCCGTCCTCGTTGAAAACAGTCGTTGGTGATGAGTTTGTTTTAAGGGGTCGAATTCGTTGTTCTGGATTGTTGTAGTCATGGCGGGGGATTGTTTTCTGTTGGTGGGGCCAGTTAAGCCGGTGCGGGGGTGTTGAACCTCGTTATGTATCCCTCCTCGCTAGGTACCCCGGGTTGGTGGCCTCGGACACCAGATCAGTCCATTTGTTACGGGCAGTCGCCGACCTCTAATTGTCTTCATGGTACTGCGGGAAGTAGAAGAAGACGCGTTTCTTGCCATTAGGCACATGGACGACATCGCAGACGCCATCCTCGTCTGGATTGACCAACGCCAGGGGAGAGGATTCTTTACCGGATCGGCCGACAAAGTAGCACACCTTCCAAGCTCTGATCCTGTTCTCGGCGGTGAAGTTGACATCATTCATCTCCTCCACCGACCTCGCTGCAGTCTTCTGGGCCCGGAGACTCTCAGCGACCTGCTTTCCTTTGCCCTTGGCGCTCGTGGGTCTCTTGCGTTGGCCATTGTTGGCAGTATACTGGAATATGCACCATCGTACTTAAGCTGCTGCTTGAAGTTGGTGCCCATGAGAGTTCTTGCCGTCTTGTCGTTAATAGCACGATTAACCGGCATAACTACCCACAACCTAGCATACTCTTCAATATATTTCGCCGCTACGGCGGTTCGGGTACCAATAGAGTCACGTCCTCTAGACTTCTATACTTTGTATTAGCGTACTAAGCTAGGAGTAAGATGGATTATAAGAACATACCAAATCTACTAGAATAATACCGGTAGATAGAATCTCCGACTTCAAGAAGACACGAACGACCTTAATCAGAGGCCAGAACGTCATCTTGCGTTCTTGAGGCCTGCCATTATCGTCGCTAGGTAGCGAACAATGGGTTATTATCCTCTGTCGTCATTCTTTTGCCAGCATCCCGGGGCCTTACGGAGGGGCCACGGGCGTGAAAGTAGACTCTTTCCTCTCTAGGACGAGAGCCCGTGCCATCGTCGAATGACTTGAGGTCGATCGTGAACGCGAGGTTATCCTTGGAAGTCGGTTCAACTTCGACCTTCTCTTTAGAAGACGACGCTCGTGTACGGGGAGGCATGGTCGCCAAATTGTCCTTCCTATATGAGTGGAAGGAGAAGACGTGTCGACCGATGACAGGTAGTATAATATAGGGTCCCAAGAGAAGTAAATGCCTTTCTGACTCGGACAGGTACTTGTAAATTTGCCCCACGACTGAGGTACTGGGTGGGATGAGTGGTAGGCAGGCTCAGAATCGGTTGACCCACGAAGTCGTCTTGAGCTCTGATAGGGTGAAAAAGCTGAAGGGTTCTTATGGTCCTGTAGAAATTAGTACTTTGCCCTCGTGCTTTGTTAAGAAGAATGCCTACCCCTCCGCGATATTCGCGGTTATAGTCGCTGAACTCCTCGATTCCAGAGCATCGAATGAACTTCAAGTAGGGGACGAACTCTGCGAGATGTGAGCAGCCTCCTGCCATCAGTTGTCGATCTTAGAGTCTCTGTGCCGATGCGCGACAATCGGATTGCTCTAAGCTCCTGTAAACAGGCCATGACATTGACTTCGGTTATTACCAAGAAGCTCGAAAACATGACCAGTTCGAGTTATCTGGATCGGGAAACTCTCCAAGTATGAGGTGAGGGCAAGAATAGAAAGGGCTCTGGATGGTACTGCAGTATCTTTCAGTTGCCGCTTTCGATCATCTCGACAAGAAATTTGCATTTTCCGTCGACCCTCTCACGGGGAGCGATCATCCCGTTGAACTAGTTGATCGCACGTGTGTCGTCTCCGAGGGGCCCGAGAATGTGACTGCCACATTCAGGCGACCGAGTGCACTGATAATAGTACTTGTCCCACTGGGTGCCCGAGTCGGGTTACCGACCATTCAACGAGATATACCCCTCAGAGAACCCAAGCGGTATGACGAGTGGCGATTTCGTGCTTCCTCCGCTGACCCTCTTACCACACGCCCTCTATACGGACCACCGCTGACAACCGCTCGTCGTTTTTTGCGGACATGGATTGACTGCTCATGGTGTATTCTGCCTCGAGGCGTCCGGGAAATCAAATGTCGTAATGAGATGAGCGGGTGTCTGGCCCAGGGTCGCTGTAGAAATGTTAGAATTTATACGTCTTGTATTTGATTGAAGATGGTCTTGATCACTTACATATTGTTTGAGTCCCGGGCTGGGTAAGGGGCTCCTCAGGTTGGATATGTTCCAAGTTTGCTTTCCATAAGACAGGATTTGCTTCTTTCCGCTTGTGACAAACACTGGCAGACCGTTTTCTTCTTTGCTGCGGCGAGAGGGTCCGCGATAATGTCCTTTGAGAGACTGCTGGCTCAGAAGGAAAAAAGAAAGAAAGAAAAAGTCGGAGGAGTTGATCCACACGTCGGTGCGTTCCAGGGGAGGGTGGATGCTTGAGGGCCTTCCGGAGAGCTTGGTGGCCTTCTCATATCTTGGAATGCAAAGGGTAAAAGGTCGTTGTATGCCTTATGTGTCTCTCTTTTACCACGTTGACTGGGGACACGTTAGGCTCCCAAAGAATAGGTAAAGCCAGAGAAGGGAAGAATGAGACAAAGGTGGTATTGGGGACCCAGGGCCGCGCACAGCTCAACTGGCTGCCTGATTTTCCGGGGTAAGCGCAACCTTGGGTTCGACTTTGCGTCGTTTGCGGCGTAGTAAGACTAGTGCTGTTCCTCCGATTGACTGCCGACCAAGTCTCGGTCGAGCTCAACAATGTCGCGCTTGCCGAAGAGGTGCACACGTGGGAGAAGACCTCGGAAATATATATATGACAAGAGACGAACGACTGAAGCAGGTTCGTATCGACTGCGATGTGGCGACGCAGGCGTTTCCCCCTTGATCAACCACGGACCAAATCTTCGCCAAGACTTTCCCCTCGCCAAGGTACGATGTTCCTGTCTCTCTCCAAAGATGAGCTGCTATTCAGTGCAGTCAAACCCCCCCCCCCCCCCCCCCCCCCGCCGAGGAGCTTAATGAGAGCAACGAGACAGATAAACGCATTGTGTCTCTGCTAATAGGAATTCCATGGCTACAAGAAACCACCGCTACTCCCAATAACCTTACTCCATACTAAGTATTTAGTGCCCAAATGACCCGTCTATGGACAAGGTTCCTGGTGAGGTACACAGTGACTGTGCTCGTCAGAGGAGGGGGCCTGTGGGATAAGACCTTGCTTGGTGAAGGGTAAAAGCAAAAAGCAAAAGAAACTGTTGCTTGATAGAGACGAGATTCGAACTCGCGCGGTTTCCCAACAGAGGTCTGCGTAACTTGCTTACATAAACCTAAATCTGTCGCCTTAACCACTCGGCCACTCTACCGTCTACTAGTGTTGATTGATGTAACAAATCCGTGCCATATTTGTATATATACCCTTGGAAAGGGATATACGTAGTGATTGACAAACTACCTACTTTAAAGTACAGTTGAGAGATGGCCGATTCTTAGAGTTACGCTTATGCTGGCGTCCAAATTTTTGTCATTTAAATCGTCCATCTTCAGACGCTTTGTTCTGGTCAGTTGCTCATAGAGCGTCTGCTGACTAAGCATCATCCTCACCAGTGGGAAACCGCGCGAGTCCGAATCTCGTCTCTATCAAGATTTCCTTTTGCATTTTTGACATCTCAACATGTGGGGAGAATGTATGGACTTTTTGATGACAGCGCCTCTTGCCTCTGGTAGTACTCTCTCTTTTTGACCTAAAGCACATGTTCCTTGACGTACCCTGCTTCCTGGGGGTCTTAGTTTATGCGTTGTTGACCCAGACCTGAGTCATGGTTGGTGAAGCTACCCACCACCCATGATCCCCAAGACTACAGCCATGTTGCCAATCCGGCAACTGGCACTCGAGGATACTGATACGGATAATGTTGGAGGAGGCCAAAGTGGTCACTGCCATACTGTTGTCCGCGCAAGTATCAGCGGTGAGTGCATGTCATGATCGATTATTCTGATACCCCAGGTAGAAGTGCCAGCACTCTAAACTCAGGTGTCCACAACTGACTGACCCTGAAAACGAAAGGCTAGACTTCTCACCAATGCGTCCGGTAGCTTGTTGGCGGCTTTTTGAAGTCATGATATTTACTAGAGAGGCAACTCTCGCCTCTACCATGGTAGACATGTTAGTATGCCAGTTTTGGCCCCAACCGAGGAGGTGCCACCATCAGTAAACTCGCACCTAATTGCAAGAAGGAAGGTGCTTGCAGAGCAAATGTCAAAGCTGCGGCGTAACTTTCCAAAGATGCTCAACTTGAGTGACAAGTCGAGGTATCTTAGGCGGTCCCATCCTTGTTCGACCTGGGCCCGTCTTGGCCAAGTTAACCTTGAAAAGCTTATCATTAGCAAACTTCCACTTGAAAGCCGCTGAGCTGCTGTTCCCGTTGTGGAGGTGTTGACCTTCCACTCTGAGACAAGCTTGCTCGGCGTACTTAAACATCCTCAACAGCCTCTTCCAGCTCACTCGTCAAGCTCGCAGCCTTCTTGGACTACAGCCTCCAGGGACTTCTCTTGCTCTTCTTCGAGCTCTTGGGTAGATCCGGCGACTTCCGCATCTGGTGTGCGCCCTACTTCCGATTTCGAAACAACATCCCGCCACGAGCAAATCTACAAGAGGCTCTATCTTACTAGGCTTCTTCAAGCATATTACCTAGAGAATATAATTGGAGAACTGACCGTTCATACAAACGCGCGAGGACATGATCAGACCTTGCTTTACTGCCATCGCGGCAACGGGACTCAACCCATGCGCTGAAGGAAGCGACGTGGGATGCGGCTTTGGGAACATGCCGAAAATGTCTTTACCATCATCAAGAGGGTTTACGAGGAACCCAGTAGCAAGGAGACAACATCAATGCTTTCCCCACCGAATACATCTACTGCTCCGAATTGTCCAATAGTTCATGGACGACGACAGGGACGTCTCGCCTACATCGGACCGACATAGTACACTCGAGCCCGAGTCCGACATCGACCGACGACAAACTTGACTCTGAGCATGAATACCATTCCAATGAGACTGTTATCTACCATGGATAGTAGTGATAAAATGAGAAAGAGGGCCCGTGATGCGTTGGCCGACGGGTTATTTTGTCGCCACCTTTGGAGGAAACGAGACCTTATCCTCAGGGATCGACTAGGCATCAGCCACAAGGTTACACAAATTCGAGTACTTGTATGGATTCTAGCCACGGCCTCAGGACAGACAACCCCAGCTATCCAAACTCAATGTCGCGATCATGTGACAAGCTCGAGACGCTGCCGGCGTGACATGGGTCACGTCGAGGTTACATGGCGAGATGAACTCATCCTCCAAAGAGTCTGCATCACAGAGATTTTGCCTCAAGCAATGAGCCTCGATACCAAGTGACTTCAATCACAGAGTATCCGAGACTGAGAGAGCACACCGACGAAGGCCAGGTCCCTTGCGATGGATCAGCTCTATTTACAACCTCCCCAGTCAAGCTCATGATCAGAGGCAACCCCTCCCAAGCCTGTGGCGTGAGATAGGTCCATTGAAACCACCATGCCCTTGAAAGCCGAAATCCTATTCAGGTAGATCCCGATGACCAATGAGGCCCTAGAAAGCATACTGGCGCCAAGATATCTATTCCAATCCAAATTCCCTAGACTCTCAAACCCCACGGAACCTTGACACTTTAGAACACCCACGCCTTCCTCCTTCACCAACATAGGTAAGATGTGATCTCGGGCTCCTAAGAGTAAACTGCGCCACGAAATGCGCCTGTGACGAGGCTGAACCCGGGTGGCAGAGCCCACCTCCAGTCCGTGACGCGTATGAATCTGCAGCATCAAGTCTCCACATCAAAACATCCCGAGTATTCAACGACTGACCTTGGGGTATACCCATCTCGCCATCATGCCTCATCTGTTCCTCAGTCCACCACACACCTTTGATGGCCCTCATCCGATCCCCCATAGGCACCAACAATGACACCAGCTCTCAACAAGCAGCGTCCGTTGTAGTCGATGGCCGGGCGGTACGATTTTATCGTATGTTGGCTCACGGTCCTACATAATGCCATGGATAGCTTGTTTTTTTTTTTTCCCGTAGAGGTCACAGGTTCGAGTTGAATTTCATCGGTTGCTTTTTTTCCTTACTTCCCGCATACCGAAGAAAATAGGAACCTGATTTATCGCACCTGATGCTCTCTCTGGTACCAAATTATTTTTTTTCTCGCGAGCGTCGGCGGATTCTTGGGTTTCACAGAAGACTGGTGACACGGGGGATGGAATGTATCTACCTATCCCCCAAAAAAGTTCCTCTTTACACTGGTGGGCTACCCATGTACGCGAACGTGCCGTTGCTATTGTTATCGTCTATATCTCGGCGTTCGCCTTTCTCGACGTCGACATCCAATGCTGGTCATCATTTCGTAGTCGAACATAGAACTTGCTCTCGGTAAAAAGCCGACTTGCTCCTTCGGACTTGCTTTAAAAGCCGCTCAGAACGAGAGAGATGTCATGACGGATGCATTCCTCTCAGTGCCGATGGGGACAGAGCACCTGGAGTACGATGATCTACCCCAGGACCTCCCTCGGACTGAGGGAAGGCATCTTGGCTGCGGTGTGTTGGTTGGGGAACAGGAAACCCGAGAGATGGGACGAGGGTAAGAGGCTATGTATAACAGAGACCTCTCGATACTGCTTCGTCGCCCGGACGTATTTGTGGCATGGTGACTAGCACGGGAGCGTGACTCGAAGTGATCAGCCGAAGCTTTCTTCCAAGCATCAAGAATGCTGTGTGATAAACAAGACTAAGCTACTGCTACTTTGTCCTTGTCGTGGTGAAGAGAGCCTCACTCAACAAGCACGAAAATAACTTCAACCCAACATCTGACACAAAATCATCACAGGCAAAAAGGGTTGCTTGTTCACCTAGTCCATCTTGTTCATTAAGAGTAAGCATTGAGATCCACTACAACCCTGAAGCGGGCGAGTTGCATTCTAGCTTTACATCAAAGATAGGACATCCTAAGAATTTTGCTCATTGTATTTACACACCTGAAATAAGCTTGCTACCTTTCACGACCTCAAATCACCACTCAACGGAACCCGTAATTGACACCAACTCTAACCGTCAACACCTCAGAAATCATCACACGGAAAAGGTTTTACTTTGTTCATCAAGAGTAGCATTGAGATTTCCCACCAATACACCCCGAAAAGTGGTGGCAGTTTCTATTCTACCTTACAGAAAAGAAGAAACTGTCCCTAGGAATTTGATCATCGTAGCTAAAAACCCCCCCGGATCAAACTTTGCCACCATTGCGACCCTCAAATCACCCTACTTCGCCAAAGGGGAGGGAAACGAGTCCCGTCCCGAAGCGAGAAATACACATACCCGTCCCATCCATCCAGTCCTTAATTTCCCAACCCAGTCCACAAAAAAGGGGGAAAAGAGAGAAAGAGAGAGAGAGAGAAAACAATGGGCAATTTTTGGATATCATGCTCTTTTTTTTCCACGCACAAAAGTAGTTGGAAGAAACCCGCCGCCTCCCAGAAAGACAGAGTGCAGTAAGGAGGAAGCCTCCTGTAGTTCCCTCACCCTCAAGTAATTGATGATCAAGACCGTTACACCACCTATGGTGCTGCTAAAAAGAAAGTCGTGAGAGGGGAGAATGGCGGAACAACCCTCCCCTTCTAGTCATGAAAAATCATCCATCAACCAACACGCCTACGCTTGTTACCGCGGTCGGGGCTGCCAGTGATCCCATCGAAGCTATCCCGCGGAACCTCTTCAGTCCCGGTGGAGCTCGGTGTGCCATTGACATTGCCAGCGCCGCCATTGTTGGCAGCCGAGCCGTCGAGCGTAAAGTTGAAGTCGTTTCCGTCGCCGTTGAAGTTGACGCCAGGGTACGCGCCGTCACCCTGGAACGCGTCCGGGTTCAGGAACTGGTCAATGTCGAGGTCGCCGTCAAAGTAGCCGTTCACGTTGCCGTTCTCGTCGATACCCGGTATGCGACCTGACGGGCTGAGCGGTCCGAGCATGCTGGAGAGGTGGTCCAGCTTCGCGGCTTGTTCTTCCTGCATCCGGTGTAGCGCGGCGAGGTCTTCTTGGTTGAAGTTGATTTGCTGTAGTGAGGGCGGCGGCGCGGCGGAGCCCATGATGGGGGAGAGGGAGAGGCCGGGGGCGGCGGACATGGGGGGTGGCGTGTCGGGGGTAGCGGTGACGGATGGGGGCGGCGGGTTGGGTGAGGCGGACATTGACGGCTTGGAGGACTGTGGTGCGTTGGTTGAGGGTGTTGCGGAAGACCGACCGGCCATGGCATTCAGCATCTTGTTCCGTTGGTCGTTGCTCATTGTGGCGGGGGTATTGTTGACGACGTGGGGGAGATCGATACCGGATGAGCTGTTGGCATTTGTGTCGTGAATGATCTTCATCATGCTCTCATGGGGATTCGACTCGAGCTCTTGAGCTAGATAGTTGGTAGGTGATGTGTGGTCGCCGGGCGATGTGTCAAAGAGCTCTGTGACGGTACCCATCTCGCGGTTGTACTGCTGAGGCGTCGCGGAGGCGCTAGCTGGTGACGGCGATACCGTATTCGCGCGACCGTTGGGAATGGGCGGCAGCAACGCTTGCCGGCGCTTCGGTATGTTGATGTTGTTTCCTGCCGAGGTTTGTGCTTGTACGTAGTCGCCCAGATCCACGACGCTTCCCTGAGGTACCGAGCTGGAGCTGTTGCCGTTCGGGATGATGCTCGCGAGAAGGTCGTTTACACTCTGCGGACCCGCCTGGTCCTCGAGCGTCTTCCTAAACACGTTGGCCAAGAAGTTCAGGATGGCGTTGATCGAGTTCTGATGGCGGTCGTGTTGGCTCTGGAAGACGACAGCCTGCTGATACAACGCCGTATTGTCCCCCTGGATTCGCTGAATCGCCGTCATGATCATCCTCTGCTGCTCGCGCACCTTGGCCAACTCTTCCCGAATCAACGTCATCTCCTTCTTCTGTATCGGCATGTCACCCGAAGGTGGCAGGGCTTTGCTGGCGGGTGCACTGGCGGTGCTAAAGCCTTGTGTCACGCCATCGTCAATGTTGACGGCATCCTCCTCGCTGTCGCCCTCGACCTCTGCGTTCTTCGCGCCCTTCTTGCCCTTGTTACCGCTCTTTGGTTTGTTGATGAGCCAGAGCAGATTCGGGTGCCCCCGTCGGAAGAAGGGATTCGAGTACTCGCTTGGGCTCTTGTTCTTCCGCTCGCTTGCGCGCATCGAGTTATCCGACAAGCCGACCCGTTTGTGGAAGCCATACATATTGAGCTGTCGTACAAAGGAAGCATAGTTGTTGTGCTTGAACAGGTCGGGAATCAGCTTCTTCGCGAATTCATCCTCGTCGAGTACGATAAACGAGTCGCCCTTTTCCGACCACCGAATGAGCTCAGAATTCTTATCGTCGTCGAGAAAACTGTTCAATGTTAGTATGAGCTTGCTGCCCAAAACACGCTCTCGCGGCTTCGGAGGCATGGGAACCTGACTGACCTGCTCAACTTCTGCACAAACGGCGGGATCTGCTTCCGCTTCTGCTGCGCCTCCCTCATGGCCTTACGAGCCATCTCCTCCAGCACCTCGACGTTATCCGTCTCGGCCATGGTTCCGTTTGCTTGTTGTTGCTGCAGGAGCGCAGAGTCTTCGCCGACAAAGGACCAAGGGTCGCTGGGCGAGTCAAAGTTCTGCCTCGCGCCCGTGGGGACGAGTGCTCTATTCATCTGCCTCCTTGCGACGGCATTATTGGGACTCGGTGTTGGCTGCACGAATTGCTGCTGCGCTTGTTGTTGCTGCTGCTGACCGGGGACGAGGCCGTACGAGTTGACAGCCTGGGCGCCTGTTCCGTCCACGAGGCCCGCAGCAGCATCCGCCGCCCCTCCCCATCGCAAGAACTGGTCGCCGGTCGGGCTGGGAAATGACTGCTGGACCTGTGGCATCGGCATGGTGGGTATCGTTCCTGGCGCTGGTCGCTTTCGAGGGTTCGAAGACATGGGAATGTGCATGTACTCCTGGGGGGGTGTGTGTGTTGGTTCGGGTGAGAAACGAGTTTGGTGTGCCCGTTGGGAGAATTCAATCGGCCAGGTCGCCGGCTGATGCGGCGCCTTTGAGGCGGACGTGATAGGCTGACGCGCGGGGGGAGTCGCCTTGCTTCGGTGAGGCTCGTTTGAATCTTTTTTTTTTCGCGGCGGCCGCGTCTGGTGGGTTTGCGGGTTGAAAGCTGTAGGCAGCCTTGTGTACCCAGTAGTCGCCGAGAGCAGAGCAGGCAAGAAAAAACCACCACCTCTTTTTTTTTTTTCTTTCTTTGCTTTTTCACAGCGGTGTCGAGAAGCGAAGACCAGCGACGGCGACGGCGACGGCGGATAAATCGGTCGGGATAGTGCAGAGTAATCGGAAGTTCGCCTGTCGCATGCGTAATAAACCCTACAGTCTGCTGGGAGCCGAAAGGTCGTCGGTCGTGGAAAAGCGCGGTGACTGAAAGAAAGGGTGGTGGGTGGAATATGGATCTCGTGGTTCTATATACGTTCGGGGTCGGTCGTTGGGTCGTGAAGCCTGGGTCTCTCTTCTCTCTATGTCCAAATTGCTGAAAGGGCAGGCTGTAGGAGGGGGGGAAAAGCCTGAGTCAATCGCCAAAAGCCGTGGGAGAAGGCTTTCGCAAAGGAAGTCTATTGTGTGAGAGAGGATGAGAAGAAAAAAAGGCCGACAACAACACTTCGAACTATGGGCCGGCAAAGAAGCCCTTGTCGCGATAGGTCGGGCTTGAGTTTCGGCGCAAGGGTGCGATTGTCTCGGTCGCGGAGGATGCTGCGAAAGCTCTGAATGAGCGAGAGGTTCCCGCTTCTTCTTTTTTTGGGTTGGAGAAAAGGTGAGTGTCGTTGTGTTAGGTAAGGCACAACTACCTTAAAACGGTACCTTACGGTGAGGGCGTCAGGCGTCAGTGGTTGGTGCTTTGCTTGGCTTGAAGGTTCAAGGTTATGCTTTGGTCGTTGACCGTTGCTGGCGGTTGCTGCTGCTGACTGCGGTCTGCTTGCTGGCTGATGCGGGCGTAGCGCGTCTCTCTCTCTCTCTCTCTCTCTATCTCACTTTTTTTTCTCGTCTTCTTCCAAGGTAGGTGGTGGGGGGATGATGTCGCTACCACGTCGTGTACTGTGGGTTGATGGGAATGTTTTAAAAGAGGATAATTGGATAAGGAAGGAGGTGTCTCTCCAATTTAGGTACGTGCGTGCTTAGGTAGCAATTTAAGACCAGTTCGTGACAGGCACCCTACAAAAAAACCAAAAAAAAAAAAAGGGTTGAAGAAGAATGAAATGACAAGGCCGTTTCTTGTCCGAGTAAGAAGGGGACCGCAGGCTCAAAGGATAAAGAAGAAGTAAGGTCAGATCTGAAGCTGCCTGGTGTCTGAACCGGGGGGACAATATCGTTGTTGTATTATCATTATCAGCTAGACGAGAGACCATGAGAAACTGAGGATCCCAAAGGCCGAGAGTTTAGACCCGAGTGGGGACCCTAAAGGAGAAGACCTCCACTGGAAGCACCAGCCCACCACCGGCCACCGGCCACCGCCCGGGGCCTGGGACCGTCAATGAGCCCCATCCAAACACCATTTCATAACGGGAACCGTGGTCGTTCGGGGGCCCTCGACTTGGAACTCTGGGACGGACGGGTCAGGATAAGGTCCCTTGGACACGGGACAGATCGTCCGGCCCAATCAGCAACCAGCTTCATCTCGATCCCTCACCGACACTGTCACCTGTGAAAGGAAATGTGTTGGAGCCAATTTGGAGACTTTGTACTCCGTACCTACCCAAGACTGAGGTGAACAAAAACCACCCCGCCATCCTGGCACCAGCTGTCAAAGCATCAATTCTTCAATCTCTCACAGCATCTTCCGAATGCAATGTTTCCACTTTCCACACAAAGTTACCAAATACAGTAGGACAAGGGGGTCTGGACTTCGGCCGAACTGCCGTTTTCTCCTCGGTGTCTCCCGCCGTCTTCTCGAGGCCATCTCGATGACGCGTGTGGGGACCCGGCGGGGGAGCTTTCCCCCTTACCAACGTCATTTTCCTCCGATTCCTAGCTTATTCTTCGATCTCAGCTCCTCCAAGCACGGCCCATTCTCCCAACAGCAATTTTTTGTTATGTCTGAATAGCATCGCAGGAACGAATAGTCTCTAACTGGAGGAACCTCTCCAAAAACTTTGGATCTTCGCATCTTGCTTTCGAATTCAGGGGTATCATTGGTTTAACTGGCCCGTCATGTCCCGCCCCTACAGAGTCGCATTCCAACCCTTGTTTCCTGTCGTGGTACGCTGTACGGAGTACTTACAGATACCCTGATGCTTCACAGAAAATTACCTTGCACCTCTGCCCGCAAGAGCCGAAGCTCTGGCCAACTTTGCATTCCGCGCCTGATCCCATTCGCGCCCGGAGTTTCCGCTCCGGGCCTCTCGCGATGCCTTCTTCTCCTCTTGCAGCGTCCTGGCCTTTTCCCTGGGATCAATCACGACCAACTCCTCCTCTGCCTTTTTGCGATAACTGAGATCCTTACCCAGCTTATCCGCTTTAAAGCTGAGCGCCCGTGACATCCACCCTTCGTCGTCGCTGTCCTCCTTGGCGGCCTGATCCCACGCCTTGCAACTCTGGCAATCGGCAATAAAGTGAAGATCACAAAGTTCCGCTTCCTCGTCGGCGACCTTGCCCTCCTCCTCAACGGCCCCCTCCTCCTCCTCGGCAGCGGAGGTGGGTCCGTCTCCCTTCTCCGAAGCCTCCTCCGGCGGCGCCTGATCCAACTTCGATTTGAAGGCTTTCAAGAAATCGAGAGCTTGTTGGTCTTCACGGCTATTCGTATTACCGCCGGGCCTTCTCCTCCTGCCCCGGATTGACGTCTCGGGAATCATGCTTTCGAGTGCAGACTTCTTGGTCTCCTTGACCGGTTCGGACTGAAAGCTCCGCTTCATCGAAGCCTTAAGAGCGGCAATCTCCTCGTTGGTCTTCTCGAGAGCCGTCTTGGTATCGCGCACCTCAGGCTCTGGCGACGGAGAATCTTGAAGTCGAATAGGAATGGCGCTCTTCTTCTCCGATAACACCTCCTTTGGCGGTGCCGTCCGTTTCTCCTCGACAGGTTCGGGCTCGGGCTCATCTCGTCGCGGAGGTTCCGGCACTTCCACCTTTGATTTGCCTTTCGATTTGGACTTGGTTGACTTCTTCACGACCGGCTCCTCCTCCTCATCCACGTCCATTACTATCCTCGTGTCGAACTTGGTCTTCTTCAAGACCGGAACCTCCTCGGCATCGCCCTCGTCATCCCCGAAGCTCAAGAGCTGTTTCCCGCCTTTCCTCTTCTTCTTTTTCTCAATGACCACCGTCTTGGGTGCCTGGGTCGCAACCCTTGACCTCTTCACCATGTCCTCAAAGGGGTTGACGAGAATCTCAACATTTGTAATCTTGACAGGGTACGTCGGCCGGTCCGTGCCTGGAGTGACTTCCCCCTCGCCCATCTTCGCTAAGTTGTATATCGTGTCGCCAGCTACCCGCCCGAACAGCGTGTTCTTGCCATTGAGTTCGTCTGCCTGATCGAGTGTGAAGAAGAACTGGCTGCCGTTCGTATCGGGACGACTTTCGTTCGCCATGCCCAGCTGCCCGCGCCGGTTCCATTTCAGCCGTGAGTGAAACTCGTCCTTGAACCCGATGCCCGTCGGTCCGGCATTGAGACCGCGTCGCTCATCCATTGGCCAGGGGTCCAGCTCGCCGCTGAATGCGCCGCCATCGTAGATGGACTCGCCGCCATTGCCGGTGCCCGTTGGGTCACCACCCTGGAGGATGAAGCCAGGGACGAGTCTGTGGAAGATTGTGTTGTCGTAGTAGCCATCGAGGGCAAGCTGGAGGAAGTTTCGGCAGGTGAGTGGTGTTTGCTTGGCAAAGAGCTCGACGGAGATGTCGCCTAGGGTGGTGTGGAGGATGACGGATGCAGTCGGCTGCGGTTCGAGGTTGTAGATGGCCGACATCTTGGCCGGCCGTGACGACGCTCTGTCGAGTCAAGAGGTGAGGTTCTGGGTAGGGTCGGGGTAGAAGAGGGAGGTTGTTATGGGAGAAGTGCGTGGAACAAGTGGGTGTATGCAGCTACAACCATCGAAAGTTTCTAGATCGTCGTCGGGGAGGTAAGGTAGCGTTAGAAAGGTTTATCGATAAGGTCACGTGCAGCTACCTCAGGACGTCATCTGATTCGGTACCACTCTGTCGGTTCCGCCCCCCCTGCCTCACTTCTTCCTTTGCATCGTGTAAGTGCCTCCCTTGGTTGGGTTATATCTTCAAGACTGTTCAGTAAGAGCATCGGCTGAGGGGGACTTAGCGGGAAGCCTGAGTAGCCAATAGTCCTCATTGATGTTTAAGTTCACTGGCGTGTTTCCTTTTCGTAACGAAGGCACTTTTTTTCCTTTCCTTCTCTGTATTCGGACTGAATACTCCCCTGGAAGGAGGACTGAGGTACTCGAGTCCAAATATCTTCCATCCTGTCATAAAGGTCGGGGGAACGCGGCCGAGGGGTATGAGGGGGGAGTCGAAGTACTAACCTGAAAGTCCTCGAGCCTCACTCAACCCGACCTTTTGCTCGATTCCTTATTGACGACCTCTTTTTTTCCCCAGGTGACATGTTGTCTTCATAAGAATGAGTCGAAGAAGGCCAGAAATTCAATAAGGAAATTCAATAAGGCGCATCTCATTGAACAATTCGACTGGTCTTCCCACATCGACCTTGTCCATGCTATGTGATCCACGATGCGCAGCCTTTCCGAAGTACTCACTTGCCCAGCAAGGTCCATAGAATTCATCCCGCCCATGTTCCAGTATAACCTAAATCTGGAAGACTATCGTGGATGTCTTGATCTATAGACGGGACCGCCAAGACTTGTGGAAAGTTGAGTTTGCACCTCTTCTCCGATACACCACTGCACTTCTAGAAAACTTCCTCTTTTTCCTGCACTTGTCTCTGGAATGACACTATTCTTGTACGTATACCCATAGGAGAGTAAAAAGCAGCAACATCTCCACTTCATTCTTCAAATCGACGCAGAGTAGTACTACCACTTCTCTCCCTTCTGTATCCAAGTCCCTGTGCAATATACAGCCTTCAGCACCATACAAGAGCCCGTTCGGAAAAAATGCCTTGTCAGACACGTTCAATCACTCGAAGGGCAGCGTCTTTAGACTGTTTAGAAACGCTCACCCGTATGAGGGAAGTCGCACTCGCAAATACGAGCGTCGCCGACAACCTCACTTCGCCTACCAGGCCAGCGCGCAGCAGCAGCAGCAGCACATCTCCGGCACCGAGCCACAGCCCGCACGTATACGGGCCACACATCCCAACACCTACCTTCCCCACGCCAGAGCAATCACTCGTAGAATCCAACGAGGACTTATATCGAAGGATACGAGTACAGCAAGAGTCTCGATACTTTACCGAGAGTAACTGTAGAGAAGAAGGAAACCATACGTCGCCTAGCGGTAGCAGCGCGGCTACGGTGTTTACTTCCGAGCCATCGAGTTCGGAGAGTAGCGGTCTCGTCTCGTCCCCGCCGGAAGGCTTAAGCGAGGATCACCGCAGTGGCGCGGCTGGCGATGATGCGTACGACTCGCAGGCAACTGAGAGCGCACCCGAAGACGATACGTCTGGTCGGGGAGATGTAGAGGAAGAGTAAGTTTCGCCCTTGTTGCAAAATATACCAGATAGAAAATGGATATTGACCGGCGATGTAGGAATAGAGAGCCCTGCTGTATCTGCCCCGCGTGCCCACGGCATTCTAGGTCTCGGGCGGGCCAGGAATGCGACAGCTCGCCGGCTCCGGAAGAGGTTGATGAGCCATGTTGTTGCCCCGGACCTGATGCTGGTGTCTGTGGGCCGGATTGTGAGGGGAGGGAAGATCAGGGACATGTTAGAGCAAGGTCATCCGAGCGGGAGTCAGCATCACGAACAAGCCATGTCTAAGGAACAACACGTGGCGGCTCTTGGGAGTGCGATGAAATGCGGTTTTTTCTTCTTTTGAGCGCTTATAACGACTATGATGATTTGTCTTTGGCAAAAGTATTTGCAACAATGAATGGGAATACCAAAGTGGCGTCCGCATAGACCTACAAGCATCACAGGCGTTAGCAATGAAAACACACAATTTTCTCCAAACAAGTTGCTCGTGGTGACATACCTTGACAGCATCGGCGCCAATCTTGATCTTGCCCCAGGAAACGGCCTCGTCCGGCCTGGCGCCCGCATCACTTCCGTCAAACTCCTGGCCAGTGTTGATGTACACGGCCGACTCGGCGCCGTTGCGCATCAGGCAAGCGTTCGCAATGTGATGCTTGATGACGCCGCCACCCAAAATAATCATACCCGCCCTCTTGGCGCGCACCGACATGGTGTTGATCTTGCGGATATCCTCGACGATATCGCACTTGAGCTGACCAGGCGACGTCTTGAAGGTGTGGAAATACAGCATATCCCCCAAGCTCCCGTCCGTGAGCGCGGGGCAAAAGACGGGGATATCGTTCTTCCACGCCCAGTAGTAGACGGAGCGCTCGTCGTTGATCTCCTTGCCGAGGCGGTGGATCATCTTGGAGGGCGTCCAGTTGATCTCGTCGTCGGTGCCCTTACTGGCCTCCTGCTCCTCGTACATCTTGTCAAAGATGGGCACGACCCAGTCCTCGAACGCGCGGTAATTCGAGTTGGGCACGACGAGGTTGCCGATGCGGTTCTGGCCCTTTTTGCGCAGGCCCTCGCCGTCGGCGCTGAAGGAGGACATGTAGGTGTCGCCGAGGCACTTGATAAAGTCCTCCTCGACGCCGCCGGCGGTGGTCACGATGGCGGAGACGTGCTTGTGCTTGACGAGCCACCGGAAGACGCCTCGCATGCCGGAGGAGATTAGGTTGGAGGTGTAGCCTAGGAAGATGGTGGTCTTGTCACCGGTTTCTGGGTCTCGCCAGGCTCTCTTGAACGTTGATAAAGCCCCCCTGTCAGCCAGGGTCGTCTCATACGTGGGAGTTAGTGGTGGTGGCGGCTCACCATGTCATTGATGATCCGGATGGATTCTGTCAAATTCGAGGCTTGGAAGCCCATGAATCTCATGCCATTGTACAGGCTCTCGGCGGTGATGGGTCCCTTGATATCGTCAAAGTCCAACTCCTCGACCTTTTGGGCGCCCTCGGGCATTTCCTCCGAGACGACGAGGACGGCATCGGTTGCTGCCGCCGGCGGGGCATTGGGGTTCTCTTGCGATGCCATGATGTTCTTTTCTGTAATTGAACGAATGAGGGACATACACCGGAAACAAAGCTGCAGTTGCGTTGCAAATGGGAGTGTTCTCAAAAGTGAGATTGTCTCAAGCCCACCGAACAAAGGTACATACCAGTGAGGGGAGTGGCGATCTATAGCCGATAGTGGGGACACGAATCGGCGGAGAATTGTGTACGTAGGTAGGATGGCTATCAGACAAGAAGAACCCTGTGGCTGTTTCAACCCAAAAATAAGGTGTGTCTATCCGTATTCTCTTTTTTCTCAGCAATCAGGGAGTTGACTAGAAGTCGGAGCTGGCATTCGAAAAAAGGTGACCATCCACACACACACTTCGAAATGGCTCCATCCGGGCGGGCATGGGATGACTCCACGGCCGTGATGTTTAGAAAAAACGGACTCCACTCTGCAAAGAATTTTGACGGAAAGGTGGAGTAGTAGGCGGCAGGGTCTGCCACGGCGCGCGCGCACAGGGCCCACCCTCGAATTGCGAGTGTCCACCCGTGCAGGACGGGGTCGTCTACGGATAATGGTAAGGCGACACGGTGACGAGGTGTGTATGGTTACTGAGGTGTGATGTGGTGTGTGGAAAGTGCAGCTGGTTGGGTGTCTCTTCAATGCGTTCCTGGACACACAGCAAAATAAGGCTTGATGGATTTGGATTGCACAAAGAGGGGAGGCTCATCGGTGAACGTCGTACGAATACCTAGGTACCTAAGGTAGAGATGATGTGGATTTGGTGAGAGTTTGTCTGTGGACACCTTCAGTTGGACCGTGGACGGGACGGGACTCGGAGAGGTTTCCATTGGCAAACATTGGAGGGTACGTTCCGAATCTTGAGAACCTGGAAATTGAGATTTCGGACTGAACGTACCTTGCATTATGTAATACTCCGTACTGCGTCAGCATGGAAGACAGGCATTGGATGGGACTTGAAGGCAGGCACAGGGCCAAAGACAACAACCTTACCTAAGGTGTACCCTCCAGGCACGCCACTGTAAACCTCGAACTGCCGTGGGTCCCGCTAAACACCCCAAACAAGACTAGCGGGTGTCGGCGGTACTTGTAGAAGGCTGGCGCTGCCCCCAGCGAATTTGAGATCCATCCAATTCAGCCCAGTGCCAAACCTGGAACTAAGCGCCACTGCACGCGAACCGTATTTTGCAGGCAGGCTGCCCCGAACGTGGCCGTGGCCGTCCAGTACTGGCCCCTGGGGTCCCGTCTTCAATCCTTCAACAACCATCACACGATTGCTCGCCAAAGTGCCCAAAGTGTCGCATCTCCGCGCTTCATCCACGACGACACACAACCGACGCCCATCCGGAGCCCGTCCACACTCATTCAACGTGCCATCATCCACCCATAACTTCAATACCCAGTGCAAACCCATACGCAAACACACAATCACGACCCGCTGTCGGATGCACCCACTCCCCGCCGTGCCCGCTACGCTACCTTTCTCACCTCCTGACCAACGCCCGTCCTGACGCTTATCCGAGGTTGGGACCCGACCACTCCAAGGACCAAAAAGTCTTCCATCGACCCACGACAACCAAGGTTCTCTGGTTCCACGTCCCAATCCAGACACATATGGTATTGGACCTTTATCATAGGCAACTTTAAGGGCTGTCGCCCGGCCTAGTGCGATGTGAGTAGACGATGCAACAAACCTAAATCTCCGACTTCTTCAAGTCTTTGATCAAAAACATACACAACCCGCAACCCGCATGCCCGACGACCCAGACAAGCCATCGCGCTCGACGCAAATCGAGTCAAACACATAGACCCTCCCCACCACCAGATGCGCCCTCCCTTTGACCACAACAGGCGTCCTGCCGATGCGAGGCGCCCTCTCGAGCGACCCTTTCATGCTAATCACGATCTCTACAGGGCTTCGAGATATTCCTCGAGGTATGACGGGGGAGATCGCGGCGACCGTCGTTCCAGATCGCCTCGCGACCGCTCACCCGATCGTTACGAACGCGCATCACAGTATAGTGACGGCGGCCGCCGCCGATCATCCGCCGAGGCGCGCTCCAACACTTCAGCATTCACAAACAACAGAGATTCATTCCGCGACAACCTTCCCCGTGACCCGCCACGAGGGCCTAAGGCGCTTTTAGATCCTCCCAGTGGCCCCAGAGGAGGCGGCTATGCCGGTGACTTCAGAGGACGCGGCAGAGGCCGTGGCCGTGGCTGGGTTCGCGATGACAGCAGAGATCGCGGACGGGACCGTGATATCGATTTTAGAGACCGACGTGATGGGCCACCTTATCGAGATGAGAGGAGCCGTGAACGCGACCGGGACTGGGATCGACGGGATAGAGAGAGCTATCGGGGACGCCCACGCTCGCCCGGTAGAGGCCGCTCACCACCACAGCGAGATTTCCGCGACAGAGATCCTCCATTAGGCGTCGATGCCGAACGATCTAGGCGCGGCTCAAGGGACGGGGGCCCCCCTTCCGCCGGCTCGTCCAACTCCGACCCCCCCTTCGGCATGGGTCGAGGTGGTTTTAGAGGAGGCCGGGATCGAGGACGTGGAGGATGGGAGAGAGGCAGGGGAGGACGGGGTGGTTTCTACGATGACCGCGATCGGTTCGGGCCTCGCAGTCGCTCTCAGGAAGGGCGATGGGGGGGCCGCGATAGAGACGACCGCGACCGTGGTGACCGCTGGGTTGATACTGAAGTTCGCAGAGACCCCCGAGACGAACCCCGTGATCCCCGAGACCGCGAGTTGCTGAGACCCAAGGTCGACCGAGAACGAGACAGAGGCATGTCGTCCCAAGCACAATCGCCAAACACCAAGGACGTCTCTCCGCCCCCCTTGGCTCCTTCAGCACCCGCTTTCGGCACTGTGCCCAGTCGAAACGGCCCGGCCGACGGATCACCCATTACTGGCGGCACCGGCAAACTGCCACCCACAGCCCCAAGAGCCTTCAATTCCGAACGACCCGTCTCTGCCGGACACGGCGGCGGAGGTAGCGGCGGCGATTTCCCGGCACCTCCCACCGGACCAGCAAAGATGAATCTTATAGAGGGCAGTCCGCCTATCCCTTCTGGGCCCCGTGCTCAACAACAGAAACAGCAACGCCCCTCAAGTAAGCAGTGGATAAATCCAGCACTAGGAAAGAAGGGCCCCCCCGAGTCGCCCAAGACTATGAGATCGCAGAGCTTTGCGCAACAGCAACGCCCGGTACCTTTCCGTCATGAAAGCGTGCCGACAGAACAAGGCGAAAACGACCGGCGCCCACGCAGTAGCGATGCGAAGGCTGACTCTCACAATTCCGCCAACGAAGGCTCGGTAAAGTCACTCAACCTCCCGGAACCTGGCGAAATTGTCATCAAATCCGAAAGAGACAGCTATTCTGCTAGAGGGTCCATGGATCGAGATATGGAGCACCCAGATGATTCAAGGGACACAGTCATGGGAGGAACCGATAACCATGGGTACCCGGAACGTCAGAACCCCCCTCCACGGCGGGAAGAGAAATTTGACACAGCCGACAAAGACGACAGTGATGAGGGCTTAGTGGACGAGGACGAGGAAGAGACGAAGGAGCCGCCCAAGCCTGCAAAGCCCACAAAGGTGAGCCGCATGTCAGTGCCGCGCGTTCGATTTCTTCTCCCACCCCAGGAACCCTCGGCGCCAGTCTCCGAACAGACTTCCGAGTCCGACGACGACGAAGATTACGGAGAATATTTTGCCATGGAAATCGCAAAGGAGGAGGCCGAGTTGCAGAAGCTACAGGACGCGGCCGACAGCACCCCGGACAAGATTATCTCTCGGTACGCTGCAATCTCACACGAAGCATTGGTGGCGCTTGTTACCGAGCCAGAGGGTCTTGTGGACATGCTTGGGCCGATCCCCGACGTCATCGAACATCCGAAAGAAGGTACCCCGATTCAGTCACCGGTTGTGGAGCAGCGCGAAAAGACGCCCAAGATTTCGAGCCCTGTCCAGCAAGCCAAATCATCACCAAAGGAGCCTACTGTGGTACCTGAACCTGTCTCAGTTGCTGTGTTCGTGCCGAAATCGGAGGAGCCCGAGGTTGAGAAGAAGGCCGAGGAGCCTCTCATCGAAAAGGAGGCAGAGAAGGAACCAGGGAAAGAAACGGAGAAAGAAGTGGTGGTGACGGCCCCGAAGGTGACTGAGCAAGAACCCGAGAAGGAGCCAGAACCAGTCGCTGAAAAGCCTGCCGAACAACCTGTCGATAAGCCCGAAGAGCCGGTCGCCGAGAAAGCTGTAGACGATGCCGAGAAAGTCGCAGAGGTTTCCGCCGAGGACAAAGTTGAGAAGCCTACCGCGAAACCCGCCGAACCTGTTGTCGAAATGGTTCAAGAAGCACTCATGGCCCCCGCCTCCGATGAGCCGCAGCCCAAGACAGAGGAAATGGATATCGACGAGCCTGCTTCGGTTCTATCGGCACCCTCTCTTCCTCAACCATCTGAACCGGCAAAGGACGTGGATGTCGCCATGGAAGACGTATTTGAGCCGGAGAAAGCACCTTTGGAGCCGGTTCTCGAGCGCGAAGAACCTAGAGAACCGGTTATGAATGGCCAGCACCTTCTCCTCCAGCCATCTAGTGTGCCGATGGAAACGATTGAAGGTGACAAGGGCCTGCCCAGCACGCCCTCTCAGATGGACGATGACGACGACAACTCCACCGAATCCGAGGACCCCGACGTGATGCTCATTGATAAGATCCGACAGTTCTCCGCGACTCCCCCTCTCGACAGTTTGCCCGACTACAGCTGCCGCCCTTGGAGCCGGGACCGGGATTTCTTACAATCCCTTGAGTCGGATTCGATGGTCGACGACTTCATTCTGCAGCAGCTTGACAAGATCTCACTGGAGAAGATGGCTGGACAGGGTGAAGCTCGCAAGGACTACGCCGAGAACTACATCAAGTATCTCGACTTTACAGTCTCGAGCGATCCGATTGCGGTCAAGAGTCGAGAAACCTTCATCAGCTGTTTACCCACACCCGAGAAACACATCCCTATCCCCCCTCCTCCGGAACTGAAACCAGAAGGTAGGGGAGCTGGCAGAAGGTACGCGAGCGAACGGGACCTCGAAAGAGTGTTGCAAGCATCCATGAGAGAAGACGAAGAACGGAAAGAGAGAGAACAACGCGCCATGCAAGAGAAGTATCGCAGTGAGAAAGAAGCCGTCATTCCCGAGATGTACTGGAGGCAGGAGGATCGCGACAACGAATTCTTCAAGGACACCACCGGCTTCACGCCTGTGGAGAAGCTTGTGCCTGCCTGGCAGATTATGCCGCCAATCAACAACTTCGCCCCTGAAGAAGCCGATCTCTTCGAGAAGAGATATCTCACGAACCCGAAGCAATGGGGTGTTGTCGCTGAAAACGTACCGAAGCGCAACTTTGGTACCTGTATTCAGTACTACTATCTGATGAAGAAGGAACTCAACCTCAAGGAGAAGCTTAGAAAGCAACCCAAGCGTAGAAAGAAGGGTAGAGGTAAGACCCGCTCAAGCGCGCTTGTCTCGGAGCTGGGCAACGCCGAAAACGAGGGAGAGGAGAACCAAGAGAACGGCGAGAATGGAGAACGGAGACGTCCACGCCGTGCTGCTGCCCCGACGTGGGGCTTCGAGCAACCGCCTACGGATTCTGACAATGCCACACCAGCCGGCACACCTGGCCGTCGCGGAGCCAAGGCTGATCCCGAAAAGGTTGACGGTAGGAAGCGTGGACGGAGGGCAGCCAAGGATAAGGAACCAAAGGTGCCCAAATCACAGCAGACTCTTGCAGCGGCATCCACACCCGCGACAGGCAAAGGAAGGTCTCGCTCGAACTCCAGAGTTCAGAACACTGAGTTCCAGCCTCCTCCGCCTGTTCCTATGGAGAACCGTCTGCCGTCGCAATTCGAGGTTCCGGTTACGGGCGTACAGCCCCCTGTGATTCCGGCTCAGCAACCACAGCCGCCTCTGATTGTCCAGGAGCGCCCTGTTCCCATCACCCCTTCACCGATATCCGAGGTAATGGCGCCTCCATCACTTCGGCCTGAGCCGCCACCACCTCCCGCGCAACCAACCGTCGCGACTTTCGATATTGCCCAGCCGCAACCCGAACGGCGTGCCCCCAGTCAGGCGTCCAGCTACTGGAGCGTGTCTGAAGCGAATGATTTCCCTGGCCTACTGAAGTCTTTTGGTACCGACTGGGTGGCCATCGCGGGCCATATGGGTTCGAAGACAGCTGTCATGGTCAAGAATTACTTTGTCCGACAAAGAGATCAGGGCAAGACTGAGTGGGAGCAATTTGCTGCCGAGGCTGACGCAAAACGAAGCAGAGGTGAGAAGCTACCAGATCCACCACCGCCCACCGTCGGTGGACGCAAGAAGTACGACTCTACGCCCGGGGCTTCGTCTCATCGGCCTCTTGCTTCTGCGCCTGCTACTCCCGCCCCGACGACTTCATCCGAACCGCCGAGCGAACCTCTTGTGACAAAGGTCGAGCCTCCCGTCCAACAACCTGGAGCCCCACCATTTGGTCGCTTTGCTATGCCGATCACTCCGGCACCACCGACGCCGTCAGCGCAACAACAACAGCAGCAGCAGCAACAGCAACAGCAACAGCAACAGCAACAGCAACAGCAACAGCAACAGCAACAGCAACAGCAACAGCAACAGCAACAGCAACAGCAGCAGCCGCAGCCGCCACAACCACTTGCTCAAGCTCCTCCCCCTGCTGTTGTTGCCACCCAGGCCCCTCCTCAAGCTCCTCAGCAGACGCCAGTTCCAACCCAGCAACAACCAGCTGCTCAGCCGGTATCACAGACAGGTTCACCGGTTGCTCGCCCGCCCAGGGCACCTCCTCAGCAAACCTTTGGTTTCCAGGAGAGGGAACGAGAATCAACCCAACCTCCTCAACCCGTCAGGATCTCACAAAAGCCGCCCGCCCCCCCAATTACCGAGCCCGCCCAGCAACGGCCTTTGGCTGCTGCACAACCTATTCAGTCTGCGCAGCCTGAACCGTTGGTCGACCGACAACAGGCCGAGAGACGACGCGAGATGGAAAGACAGGCGATTGAGCAGCAGCAGCAAATTGAGAGACAGCAGATGGAGAGACAACAGCTTGAGCGCCAGCGCATCGAGCAACAGCAGATCGAGCGACAACAACTGGAAAGGCAACAGCTTGAGAGACAACAAATCGAGAGGCAGCAAATGGAACGTCAACAGATTGAGAGGCAGCAGATCGAGCGCCAGCAAATCGAGCGCCAACGCATTGAGCAGCAGCAACTTGAGCGCCAGCAGCTCGAAAGACAGGCTATTGAACGGCAGCAGATGGAACGTCAACAAATCGAGAGGCAGCAGATCGAGCGTCAGCAAGCTGAGCGACAGCAGATGGAGAGGCAACAGATGGAGAGGCAACAGATGGAGAGGCAACAGATGGAGAGACAGAAGATTGAGGCACAAGCCAAAGAGCATCTACGCCCAACTGAGCGCACTCGCCTCAAGCAGGAGCCCGAGATGACACCGCCACAGCACCACTACGAACCGTTCTCTTATGGTCAGCAACCGGTGCGGAATGTCCCACCACCTCGATCTGAACCACCTGTATCAAGACAGCCTGCCGAGCCACCGCGGGCAACAGCTACTCCAGTCCCGCAAGGTTACCCCATGCCTCAGCCAGGTGGACGACTCTTGGGTGATCCTCAGCCGTCTGTCTCGACGCCTCCTGGCCAGAGACCCATTGCAGCTCAACGACCTATGCCCACCCACATGGACTCATATGGCACTCCTCCCCAGCAACAACAACCGCCAGCAGCAGCAGCCGCGCCCCCGCCTCGCTCGTCAGCTTCGGAGAACAGGAGATCCAACATCATGTCGTTGCTCAACGACGACCCACCAGCAGGTGCCGCTGCTGCCGCTCCCACACCCCCGCCTCAACCCAAGCGTGTCAATGACATGGCTCAAATCAAGCCGTCCCCGACGCCGCCACCACAAAGCATGCCTAGAGGACCTGTGGCCGCGCCGGCGCCGACTCCCCTGCGACCAGAGCGGGAGCCTCCTCAGGCTGCCTATTCCTATGGACGGAATGCTCCCTCAGCGTCTGCGATGCCTCCTCTGAAGCCGACGTACACTGCTTCGCCCCAATCGCAGCACATGAGCGCCCCGAGATCAGCCATTGCGTCCCCTCATGATGCGGCAGCAGCCGTCGAGCGAGACTACTACCGCTATCAGTACCACCAGCCCCCAGCGACGAACTCTCCTCAGGTCGCGCAGCCTTACCCGCCGCAACCCCAGTCTCGTGATCCTCGCGATCCTCGTGACCCAAGAGACCCCAGAGATCCTTACCAGCCTCAGACTGGATACCCTGCGTATGGTGCGCCTGCTTCTCAAGCTGGCTCGCCGCCGCCTCAGTATGCTGTACATCAGTCGGCCTCTAGACGCGAAACGCTCCCCCCGCAAGGCAGGGAATCAGCATGGCCTCCTGGGCCTCAGGGACACGCCATGGGCCAGCCGCAACCACCACAGCAACAGTCTTCTTGGCCACCGGCGTCACATGCGCCGCCGGCTAAGCAGGCTCAGCAGGCACCCCCTCCTCAGAACTGGGCTTCTCCGCACATGTCGGCGCAGAAGGCACCTCCCGCGGGCTCGGCCATGCCGCAACAATCGTGGGCTTCCGGACCACCTCAACAGCAGCAGCAACAACCGCCGCCGGGACACCACATGTCCATGCGAGACGAACGCGGCTCAGCCATGTACGGACAGATTCCGCCTCAGCACCAACACCCAATGCAAGGGCGGTATCCTCCGGTGTCTCGGGCGCCGGAGCAAATGCCACCTCAAGGTCAGCAAGCGTACCCGCCGCGGTACGCATCGACGCCCGCGCCTAGAGATCCCCGGGACCAGATGCCGCCTCGTAGCTACACGCCTGTAGGATACGATGCTCGCGGCCCGCCTCCCGGACCTTACCCTCCGGATCCGAGAGAAATGCAGATGCGGGAGATGAGCCGCGACCCCCGAGACCCTAGAGATCCTCGGGAGATACAACACCAGGAGATGCTCCAACGCGGCCAACTGCGCCCGCAAGATGGGTATGGGAGACAACCTGATCGATACGGCCGATAGAAGGCGTATCTGACTCCACTTTAATCAAGCATGTATGAAAGAAGCAAAAAAAGAATTTAACTACGGGGAGGTGTATGGTGTGTTTTCTGGTTTGGAGGACCGGAAGCTATAGGGAAGCATAAGGAAACGTAGATGCGAAGCCAAGGGGAACGGCTGGGTGGGTTAGGACGTGTATTCATAGTGTTTCAACGCATAAAGCAGGAAAGAGGTTTTTTTTTTTTTTTTTTTTTTTACTTTTATGGGAATTTTCAGTCATCCACAGTTTCTTCTTGCATTTGATCGTTCATGAGACTTGGCGTCAATATATCAAAATCAACTCTCATGTTTGAGAGCCTTGCCATATGCCGTCCAGAGCTATCCATCCGTACGCGACGCTTCTCTTATTGAACCTTTTTCTGTTGCAAGGTTTCTTCCAACCCCCCATCTTTCCCCAAAGATTTCCCCATCTCGCGGTCCCGAAAGAGCAGAGTAACACCAGAAATACCTTAGTGGAAGGGAGTAAAATAGTCTTGAATATTGTCTTCTTGGGGACGCAAGTCCAGGCTGAACCGAATCTTTATCATCTTCTCATATTCATCTTTCCCCTTCTTGGTTTCTTCATATCTGCTTTGTCAATTTTCCATCGTTTCCATCGGGGGTGTTTTTTTTTCATCTTTTCCTTGGTCTTTATGTTGTAAACTCATTATGTGTTCCGCTTTTGCTCGCTCATGTTATCATCTTCCTTTCTGTTATGCTTTTTTCTTCTATTGCTCGCTTATACTTAATTACCTTCCCATCCGTTCCTCTTTCTTCATCTCCTTTGGTAATTCACTTTTCGTTTTCCCTTATCCTTAATCATTGCAACATATCATGCGTTCGCTCTTGCTTGCTTGTACTTGTCTAAAATATTGACCACGATGAAATAGTACACAGACACCCACAACTTTTTCTCTTGGATCTAGTGGTAGTGGTGATGGTAGTGCGTTCGCCCTCGTTCGCTCGTATTCGTCGACGACGCTGACCGTGATGAATAGTGAATAGAAATAATGGGCCCTTTTAGATGTGCAGGGCAGGCCTAAGCCCACCAGACGGGCAGCAGCATCTCCGAAGTCTTGAAGCCTCTCACAGTCGCTCTCACGTACGACCTTAAAGGTCGGCAACCTTCTTTCGCACTTGCTGCCAGAATTCTTTTCCCTTTGGCCGCGGTACGTTGGAGGCGTTATATAGCAATCGAAAAGGACCGACCTCTTGACTTCTTCCAGGACTGGGATGGAAAAGGGAAGGAATAGGGCCGGCTGGCCCTTCTTGAGCGGGCAAAATTGTCAAGAGTTTTTTTGGGGGTTGCTGGTTTCATATCTTTTTTACTCGTGTTGCCTCCAACATGTTCTAATTCAACATCACCGCAGGAAAAGAGTATGTGTTCGACTCAAAAATGCATGTTGTAAATGGAGGTGCTCTCCTTGATTCATCATCTCACCAAACCCCCCGAGTTGCTTGTCTCTTACGTCTCTCATTCGTAGGTAATATGTACAACTTCAAACAAAAAGTCTCTCCTTTGCAACTCAACACACAACATCGCCTCCTCGTCCAAGTTTCGTCGTCTCATGATATTTGCATCCAAACGTGCTTCGCCAAAATGCACAAGGAGCCTGAATTTTACCGGCTCTCTCGAGTGTTTCTTCAGCCGGAAGACCTCCCGCCAACGCCTTACCGTGCCGTGATGATGCCATGTCCTGCCGAATTACCGCAGCGTTGTGTGACGCCGACAGCAGGCCCTTGGTCGTGAAACGAGAGGACCAATCGTTGAGGGGTTATTCGTTCCCCTCAAAACTCGTGTCTCCCGACCAAGTATCCATGGTGCAGAATCGTTCGCCACCACACCAATCCCATCTCCTTTTTGACTCCCCCATCCATTAAGCTCGTTCTTCAACTCCGACAGTTGCGCCGGCTCAGTCGACCTCGACACGGGCCACAGCTTTGCGCATCTGCGACTGAAAGTGGAAGCTGTTAGACAACCAGCCAGCCAGCCCTGTCAGATATAAGCTTGCTGTTACGGGGTAGATCGCCAGCCCTCTCAACTGGCTGGTCTCGTACCCCGCAGCCCGGCGCCAAGATTTCCGCCACGCAATTCATACAATTACTCCGTACGACTCTGGCCGTTCGTTCATTCAATCAGCGGTTTCTTCTGCCCTCCCACCAGACATAGTCCTAGTGTCTTGAGAGATTCTCGGTCATTCGCTAAGACGATCGCCCGGGCCGGGAGCATAGGGTTGTTCGGGTCGACGTGGGAAGCGTCTTTGGCGGCCTGTTCGATGGCGTCCATTTCCTCTTTGCACGCTTGCTGGTCCATTGGGCAAATAACAAGCGGCTGCCTAACAGTCAAATCTCTGGTAGATCCTAGCTGTGCCTAATGAAAATGGTGAGCATGAGCAAGTATCGCAAAGTGTGATAAACATACCTTAACAGTCAAGTAGAACTCAATCTTATACAAGGTTGAGCTCGTTGTGAATGAAGTGACTTCGTATAAGGGAAATGCCGGTTTTCCTCTTCGAATAATGCCGTCCGGGTCGCGCAAGTCCTTGGAGGGAAATACCAAGCCCAGGTTTGTTGCGTATCCTGCCTCGGGCATTTTCGTATTGACCAACTGCGTGTTTTTCGCTACTTTGTTGATCTTCTTCGTAGGCTCGTCGCCTTCCGGGTTGTACGTAATCTCCTCCTCAATGGTGACGGTGATCTTCTGAATCGTGACCTTCAACGCTTTCTTCATCCAGTCGGGATTAGGTACTAGTTTTATATAGACTGTTATCGGGTCGAGCGGGCCGTAGCTCCATTTGGGAACCGATATGCCCAGTGTGACAACGCTTGCGTCGCTGACTTGCCTCGACTCTGGCTTGTTGTACATGCCAAAGGTCGACAAGGTGTCGTATCGCTGTAGCGGTATAGGAAAGGAGTATTTGTTCTGGAGGGTGTGTCCTTGTTGCACGGTAACAACAAGCTCGTAGTACGTCTCGGCCGTTCGACTGGGGAGTTGCAATGATGCCGGGGGTATTCGTCGGTTCGTTTCTTCGCCACCTCTTCCAAAGGGGATGAACAGGACGAACGGCAGATCCATCGCAATAACGCTCTCAGCGTCCTTTCCTGATTGGCATCTGAATAGCAGCAGCTCTTTGCCGACTACGTCTGTCGTTTCCCTCCTCGGAGTTCCCAGGTGTCTCTTGGCGACATTCTCGGCGGCGGGGTGTATTGTTTCTCTCCGTTGTAAACATATGCGCACTAGCGAAACGGAGACGGGCATGGAATAGCCCTGTGATGGACGGATCTCGACTTTGCCTTCGATTCGGGGCTACATTGCGAGCAAGAAAACGTGTCAGCAAACGGCGCGCGCAAAGGGTAATTTGACCACATCAGCGTCCTCGACGTCATCACAGAGGGTCCAACGTACTAGCGTCGCAGAAATGCCCGGGTAGCCGACCAGAAAGCTGCTGTTGGGCGGTCCAGAAACCCTCACGAAGGCGGCCATACTGGCTGGATCGCCAGAGTGTCCGAGATGTGTCTCTCGTCGGCGTGGAAGTGGTGAGGGTGTTGTGCGGATGACAGAGGTGAGGTTCTCATGTGTGTCGGTGGGCGGCAGTCGTGCTTCCTAGGCGCTGCGCGCGTTGCCGCCTGGTGGGTGTGGGGTCCAGACAGTTGTGTCCAAGCTATCGGGGACGTGCAACAGCAAGAGCAAAGCGCAAGGCCAAGCGGCGGCATTACATGAACGGATCGCAGTTGGCCGGTAGCCTGGGATTTGGCGTCGTCGGGTCGGGCGCTGTGGGGAGTAGTAGTGCGCGTTCCAGCGTCGAGATGGGCGTTGATGGGAGTTGGCGCAAAATCAGGTCGGAGGGGTTGGAGAAAGCGGCGCCCTGTTCCGGAGTCTGGAGATGTGACCTGCGGGTGGTTGTTGGAGAGAGTGCGGAATGGGGGGTGGAAGAGAAGAAGAATCGAGAGCAGTGACCAGCAGAAACAAGACCTCTCAGCCCAAGCCACAAGGTCGCGCGACTTGTGTACCTCAGCAATGTGAAGCAGCCAAATAGGGTGCCTAGGTTCTGAGTCGGTGCAGCTGGGCTGATGCAGCTTATCCTCGCTTCTGCATCGATTTTCCCAAGGCAAGCATAAGCAGCAGCAGCACACGAGGCTCGCTCGGTCGGATCAGGCCAGGGAAGCTCTGGGATGAGTGGTGGATTGCGAATGGAGTCGTTCAAGTGGCACACTGAGCTTGGCGAGTTGAGGGTGGAGGGAGAAGAGACCACAGCTTTCTCAAGGTAAGGTATCTGTACTCAGACGTATCCGTACAGACGAGAGTACCTGAGCAGACCTGAGGTGGAGGCTGGTTGTTGGTGGAGGGGCCCGATGTGGCGGGGGGCTATGTGGGTAGAGATGGGCACTGCACACGGCCCTTGATCTGTCTATGCCAACTTTGTTTTGCTGGACGGCCGTTGTTTTCGCTGTCTCGTTGTCTCGTGCCCTTTCTTCCTTTCTTCTCTCCGTTGTTCGTCTCTTCCTCGGAGTGTGAGAGGTGTTTGGGGCGTACACTCAGCTCCCCACGTGCACAAACGCACGTCGAGATGGGTGTAAGATGGCAGGTCTCCGCGGGTATCTGTACAGTATTGACTGACTGCTATGCTGAGCTTTGCACAGCAATTGATCAGGCTCCGAAGGCGGCAGTTTGCGCTCTGTGTGGGATTCGCTTCACTCTCCCCCGGTGTGTTGATGTTTGTAGTGATTGGGCAGTCTGCTGCTCAGCCGCTGCGCTGTGGGTTGTCTACCAGGGGGGAGCAGCAGAGAGATGGGAGGATCGGTACAAGGAGTGTACTTGGGGGCTTCGTGGTGGTACAGCCTCTTCCTTTGAGCCACACTTGAGATGAGTGTACTCCGTATGGGACTTGAGAGACAGAGCCTGGTGTCCAAGTTGGGGGCCAGTGGTCATGATGGCTTGCGTGTCGGATAACGGTGTCTGAGCGGGAATCTGGGGGAGATGTTTTGGTTTGGATCGGTTCCTTGACCAACAGGTGTCCAACGGCGGAGGGAACGGGAGCCAACATTGCGTCTTCTCTCACACCCAAGGAAGCTTTCTGGATCATCTGTTTTGATTTGACTTGGATTAGCGGCTAGGACCAGGAAGAGGTACTAGCAGTAAGTAAACTTGAGGGGAGATACCCGGAACGTGGAAGGGGGGGAAGGGGGGGTCCCGGACCAGGGAGCGATTGCTGGGACGATTGGCGCAGTGGGAAGGTGCGGGGAATGCCTCCAACACCGCGACTGCAGATTCAAAGGTAACTATACCCTGAGTCCCTGACACGCCCGAGGGAAGAGCCTTGGCAGTTATTTGGGTAGGAGCGAGGAATATCAAGTGGAAAGTGGGAAGCAGATGTTTACTTCCTGTTCGTACCTGATGCGTGGAATTTGAGATCACGGTTACTGCAGGTGGACTAGGCATCGAATTTTGCATTCTCCCATGTTTGTGGACAGGAAATTCCCACATCGAACACCTACAACACTTACCAACTCAAAGCCGTATACCGTCGTCACTAGCATTTTACTGCATTTTCACCAACTCACAATTTCCATCAGAATACGCGCGTGTTATTCATTACTCGCCAATGCAAGATAAGTTTGTCCTGTCAAATTTCCAAAGCGCTTCCTGACAGAAAACGTTATAATCCGAGTAAGCACTTGTATCAACGGGGAGATTAACCGCCGCGGTGGTGTTTCAACACCTTCATGACGCGAGTCGCATGCCATCAAGAGCGACAGAATCGGCTCGACTTTTTTGGTCACCGTACTCTATTTTCGGATCACCAGTATATGTCTGCCTCAGCTTCATCTCGCTAACGGTCGTTTCCAGTCTAGGCAAGAAATGTTCGTTCTGTAGGGAGTACGAAGTACGGATAAGCTGTTCGTCAACTAATACGTCTATCCGTACCCGTACAGCTCCTCAGCTCACCCACCCTGGAAGGCTAGGAATGGCTTCATGGTCCCTGGAAATTTGGGGGCACGCACTGAAGCTTCGCCATGCCCTGCACAGCCCTAGGCACCCCGGACTTACGAACAGCCTCAAAAGGTGTAGGGTCCCTAGAAGCGGAGACCAGGGGTGGGCTTCCCAAAAGCTGCCCCGGGTCCCAATCACAGACGAGACCGGCCGGCGGCCCTCGGCATCGATCCGAGTTTGGGGACTTCGAGACCTGATTTGCTGGCTTTGTCCCGGACCTCAGGCCCGGGTTGTCAGAACACCTTAATAATCATCAGACTGAATCTGCGGCATGTGCTCTCGGTGCGTCATCTCGGGTCTGGACTTGGGACGGACGAGGTTTTGGCGTGATGAGGTGCTTGATGCTTCCCGGACAGGTGTGGGTCGAGGTGCACGAGCCATCCGCCCCGAAGCCTTAATCCCGCCATCATGTGCCTTTCCATGGTGTGCTTCTTGGCCTTACGTAAGGTAAGTTGTAATCGCCATCTTATCGCCTATTTCCGGCATGATTGATTACCTCACCAGGCTCACCTTTCTCAACTTCAATCCCGCGTCGGTGTTGAATCTCTCCGCATTCTGCGCAATGATGCCCACATTTGCGGACTTGCGGGGTGTAATGTAATGCGGATCTATGTCCGCACAACAGTCCGGACTTACAGCCTTCCATTCCCAGAGTTTAGCTGTTTAACCGTTTGACTGTTTGACGTAAGAGCGAAATACCTATTGAGTATGGTTTTCAGGCTCAGAGGGCTGCTGGGGCTAGATCGTCACCATAAAGTCATATGAGCGATGCTCAACGATACCGCTATTCCCGCACTATGAGAAAAGAGCCGTGATGAGTCTCTCAATTCTGCGAGACAAGTACGACTTACTTCTGGTGCAACATTGGCGCAATCCCGTCGGCAACGCACAATATTGACCATTGAAGAGGGTGGCACGGGTGGGAGGGGATCGATGCCACTAAACTTTAAATCCAAAGTCCAGAAACTCCCTAAAAAAGCGGCTTTAAGTCCATTAGCTCCAGACATTCCGCATCGCATGCGGTCGATGCGGCCGCGTCGGCCGCTGCCCTACGAGACATCGTCATGTAACTGGCATTTTGAACCAAATAAATACTGGACGAAATCTCCCGTTTGTTCTGAATTGCAATCACTATCTCCATCAATCAGAGTCACAACAACACACAAAAGCAGCATAACCTCCAAAGAAACCAATCCCCCACGAAGAAGACTCGTATTAGTCCACAGCTCCAGATCAACCAAAGTCAAAACCCCAACCCCCTCCCCAAATAAAACAACCATGTCCATCCTCGCACCCTACGCCGAACAACACAAGGCCACCTCCGGCCCTAACGACAGCCGCCCCACAGCAGTCCAAATCATCCAAGACCAAGACCTCGTCGGAAAATGGACAGATAAAGTCGTCGTCGTCACCGGCTGCTCCCCCGGCGGTCTCGGCCCGGAAACCGCTCGGGCCTTCCACGTCGCCGGCGCCGACGTCTACATCACCGTCCGCGATGTTGCCAAGGGCGAGGAGGTCGCCAAGGATATCCTATCCGATGGCAAGCCCGGCAAAGTTGAGGTCATCAAGTTGGACCTCGGATCTCTTGAGAGCGTGAGAGAGGGCGCCAAGGCGTTCCTGGCAAAGTCTGACAAGTTGAATGTGATTGTCAACAATGCTGGTATGTTGATACTTGCCGCAATAGTGAAGAGTCACATGGGCTAACATAACTATCAGGAGTCATGGCCTGTCCCAAGGGCAAGACAGTTGACGGATTCGAAACCCAATTCGGCACAAACCACCTCGGTAAGCACTTCAGTTCACAATTAGAAAGAAAAAAAAAGGCTTCAATCCCAACTAACACAAAACCTTCCCCAGGCCACTTCCTCCTCTTCCAACTCCTCAAACCAACCCTCCTCGCCTCCTCAAACCCCACCTTCAACTCCCGCGTCATCTCCGTCTCCTCCTCAGGCCACCGCGGCGGCCGCATCCAATTCGAAGACTTCCACTTTGACCACACCGCAGAATACGCACCCTGGGCAGGCTACGGCCAAGCCAAACTCGCAAACATACTCTTCGCAAACGAGCTCGACCGCCGCTACGGCGCCCGCGGCCTACACGCCCTCAGCCTCATGCCGGGCGGCATCGAGACGCCGCTGCAGCGCCACCAGCCGGAAATCACCGAGATGGTTAAAGACCCGGCGGTCCACAAGGTCATGAAGAGTCCCGCGCAGGGCGCGGCTACGTCTGTTTGGGCTGCTGTTGCAAAGGAGTGGGAGGGTAAAGGCGGGAGGTATCTCGAGGATTGTGCCGAGGCGGAGGAGGTGAAGCCTGAGACTGGGATGCTTGCGCCTGGGTATGCGCCGGCGGCGTATGACGTTGAGGCGGAGAAGAGGTTGTGGGTTGAGAGTTTGAAGATGGTTGGGCTTGAGGATGATCAGTGAGTCTTGGCCTGGGAAGACAGAGAGGGGCGGGAGAGAGGCGGGAGGGGGTTTGGTTTGTGATGATATGATGAATGAAAAAGGATTAGCATGCATAGATATCGCTTATAGAATTTGAAAATTCCTCTCTAGAACTTTGTACAACTAAGACTCTATTTTTGTGGAAAGATGAAAGGGAAGATTGCACTCCCAAGGAGCTTCATCGGAGCTTCATTAGGTAGCAGAAGGCCGCCCGCGAAAGTGTAGTGTCATGTGTAATTGAAGTGCTCGAAGAGATGCATATTCTTAGTAATTGGAGCGCCGACTATCCGGCTTGTCGGCGGCTCTTTCTGCAGACCGGCCCCGCAAGCCGACCTCATGCCGGCATGGGCCCGGTCCCGACGGCTAAGACCCCTTCACAATCACAACATCGCACGGCAAATGCCCTCAAGACTAGTGATTTCCCATGAATCTTTGTCATGGTATTCGATATCCATCTCACCCCCTCTAGCCATCAACTTCCATAGCGTCACCATCTTCCTTTTCCATCAAGTCTATCCTCCTCAGAATACTCTCCTTCCATATCCTATACTCCCTGCGCTTCTTCTCGCTCAAAAAGTCATACCGCTCCAAAAACATCGTGTCCGCCCCGCGTACAGGCGCCTTGTACGCACCCCCATCCTCCCCTCCGCGACCGTGGCTATCGGCAATCACATGGCCCGCCTCAATCACATCCCCCAAACTACGATACCAATCGGCATCCAACCACCCCCGTTCCGATACCTCCTTCACCGCAGCATCAAACTCCTTGCTTTTCACGGGCGCCCACCCCTCCCACGCCTCATCCTCGTCCAACCCGCGCGCATCAACCTCCTCTCTCGCCTTGGCCAGTAACTCCAACACCTGCTTCCGCGCAGGTACATAATTCTCCCGATCCACGTCCTCGCCCGTCGCCAGCTTCCGCACCTGCTGCGCGACAAAGAAATACACGGCTCCGCACAGCGCGGCCAAGTTCTCCCGCACCCAAGCGTCGCGCGTCCGCAGCCCGCCGGGGACGACGACGTACTCCATGCCGGCCAGCATCGTGGGCGCGAGGTGCTTCTGGCTGGTTTCCCTGCACATGAGGCGGATCGTCGGCTGGATCCAAAAGTGGAGGCCCGACTTGTCCTTCGGGTAGGCGACTTTGCCTGTCGATTTCGTCGGGGTGTTGGGTGCGCTGCCGCTTGACGCTGGGTTCCCGCCGCCGCCGCCGCTCCGGAACTGCGCGAGAGATCTGTCTTTTGTCGGTGTTGGGCGGTGCGGTGTCCTGACGGGGGAGTCGACGCCGTGGCGTTGCCTATTGCGCGGGGTGCCGTTTTTGCCTGGGGTGCGGCTGAGGGCTGTGTTGGGGAGGATGTTGTCGAGGTGGCTGTAGAGGCGCTTGTAGATTCGAGGGGGGATTGGCGGTCGTGGCTCGATTGGGGGGAGGTCGAGGGTGATTTTGAGTCTGAGAGAGTGTTAGTAACTGGCGTCGAGGAGAAGGCATGTGTGTGAGTTTGTGTGTCTGGGGCGGTGGTGTGAGCTTACCTGTCGCAGGCGATGTGAGCGCATGCGTATAACCGCCCGATTTCTTCGTCTGCTTTCAATGTGCTTGCTCGGTGTCTCGACTGTGCTAGTAGAGAACCCGCCAGCTCTACCAAGGATGGTGGCAGAGCTGAGCCATGGGTCGGCATCAGCGAGAGGAGTGTTTGCTCTATTGATCGATTCATTGTGAAGGGTGGGTTGTGCGGGTTGAAGAGCTTTTTGCGCAAGACGCGTCGAGGCGCGTGAGAGCTTAATATCAGCTTTGAGACTCTTGGTCGGGTGAAACGGCACGTTGCTATAAGCGCGGCTCGCTCAATTGGTGTTCGCTATGTTTCTCTATGCTTCCTATGCTGGTTGGCAGGGTCGGAGTCGGTCGTCAATGTCGAGTGTCAAGCTGCAGAGAAAAAAGGTTTCAGGAGCTGAGGTGGTGTCGAGAATGAGTTAGTTGCGTCACCGAGGCACCCAAGCTTAATTGGCACGCCGCGACCCCGGGTCTAGAATGTTTAAGCCCCCCCCGCGGCCCCCCTGTCAATCGCCGATCCGTGCGTCTGCCGCTCCCTAAAGAGTAAACCTAAGGCTACCACGCGGGGGTCAGAAGATTTGGCCGCTCCCTCTTGGCTTCTCTTTTCTACTAGCATCGGCGAAGCGCCCAAAAAGCCCAAATTTAATCAGAATACTTCTAATTAATAGAGAATTCTCTAAGGTATTTTTTTTATACATTGAAATTAATTTACCTTATTTAGTTGAGGTAGACTAGGTAGCTTCGTTGAGGTTGCTCATAAAAGCGGCCAAATCTTCTGACCACCGCGTGGCTACCTAAGGACGGGAGTGTGGGAGTGTTGGAGTGTGGGAGGCTCAGAGGCAATCCCCTGAATTGGCCATGGCGGAACGCCACCTGTTCCTGTGAATATTCCCATTCCCCCGTTCCTGGTTCTCCATTCCCCATTCCTCAGCAATTCCGACACCGCAAAGTTCCATCTTTGGCCCAGCTTTTTGTCAGCCTTTTTTAAATTGAACCTTGGTCCAAAGATACTTCGATACCGTAGCCATTGATCGGCCCCCCCCAAAATCTTTGTGGCTCTTTGTTCAACTTCATCGGCGCCTAGCTCCCATTGTGTATCTTATTCAAGAGTGTCTGACCTTTTGTCTGCAATTGTTACACGTGTCGTCAACAATTCAGCAAACTTGCGACTCCATCTCGAGAATACGAAAAGCAACCCCCCCCAATCCAACAAGCACCTCCTCCAGCGATAAATACCACAATGCACACCGTATACTTCGCCGCTCTGGCAATCGCCAGCCGCGCCCTCGCTCACGGCGGCGGCGACCACAGCCAGAAACCCATAGTCGACGAAAATGCCGATTGGATGACGAAGCACATGGCCGGTATGCAAACATGACAGGAATCCCAAGATATCCGAAAAGTAATACGCGACTGACGTTTTTCCGTCCTTCTTTACAGAGGAGCACCACATGGAAGGCTGGGACTCGGCCTCCTTCTTCACCCTGCACGACTACAACAGCGACGGCGTCTGGCAAGGCGACGAGATCCTCCGCACATACGGCCTCTTTGACGAGACGAATCACCACGTCTCCGAGGAGAAGCGCTTCGACATCCTCCACAACCTCATGGAGCTCCTCGACACGAACCAGGACGGCAACGTCAACCGCTCCGAGTGGGACGCCTTCATCGCGAGCGGCAAGACGCTGCCCGACGTCGGCATGGGTCCGGGACACCACGGCGACGACGAGTACGAGTACGAGATTCACCACTGGGAGAAGTAAGTCATTTGGCGCGGTTCTGACAACGCAGACGAGGAAGAATGAGAAGCTGACGAGAAGCGCACCAATCTAGGTACCACGACGAGAACACTAAGCTCGAAGACCTGACGCATCCCGAAGATATCGAACATTTCAAGAAGCACGAGGAGATGGAGGACGCGCAGGACAGGCAAGAGCAGCTCGACCACATGGCCGTCGTGGAGGAGAACATTCCGCAAAAGTTCCGTCGGTCATAGCCGCTTCGGTTTCCTCTGGGTCGGGGAGGATCGAGGATGACGAGGTGATGGACGTAAAGCAGGATAGGATTTGACGACGTCGACGAGTAAGAGAGATTCATGAAAACGATCATGTAACACTACTAGATCTTGTAATATGTACATCAAAGACGCAGTGCCATACATCGGGCGCGTACGTCTTGACTAATTCGACATGCTCGACCACCGCGGCTCGCCCGCTGCCGCCATCTGTCGCTACTGTCCAGCCGTCGTAAAGGCGTTGGATATGTGAGCGCCGCGATTCAATCTCGTGGACGCCCACGTTCTCGTGCAGATGGAGCCAGCATTCACCCTCGCACGGCGCGGTGATATCCCACGCCGGGCGCCATGTAGGCTCGCTGGTGGGGAGAAGTCCGCCGTTAACGTGTAGAATGTCAATTGCCGTGCCCGACGCTCGCATGTCTGCTATCCTAGGCACAGTCTGCTGGTTATCCTGGAGGAAGATTGTGATTTGCTCATCGCCTGAAAACAGTTGTACGGCTGGGAGAGATAGGTCCTTTCTCTGTATGACTCTGACGCGCCAGCCGTTGGCCACGGCGCCGCGGCGGAGTGCTTCGACGCTCCACGGGTTGAGTTCCCAGCAGAGGACCTTTAGTCCGAGTTTGGCGTAGGAGAAGGTGAAGTAGCCGATGCCTGCGTACATGTCTACCGCCCAGCGGTTCTTGAGCACAGATACTGGTAGTGGACGGCGTGGAAACGTGGTGTCTGGACCGGCTTGGCTGTGAAAGTCGAGGAGGCGCGTCTTCTCTTTGATGTTGCCCCGGCTGAACATTGTCCACCGCGGAGCCCATGTTTGATGTATGCCGTTCTGCTTAGTCGACACCCAGAAAGCTCCCTCAAAGTCTTGAGGCAAGGGGTTGGCGGGGTTGTTGGAGGGGCCAAAGTCGCCGTGGAGGATCTTGAGCCCGCTTGGCGTTCGCAGGATATTCTCGCTCTTTTCGACGTCTAGGCTCTCTAAATCTGTGTCTGTTTGCAGGGGAATTCCTTCGTTGACGGCGAGATGCGTCAGGGCTGTTGAGCCGGTCTTAGAAACATCTCGGAGGATGGCCTCCCACAGGCGATGAATCTCATCGTTGCTGATATTTGGGTGGTTGAGAATGGCTGGCCATGGACCCTTGTTGAAACTTCCGCTGGGGAGCAACAGCATGGGCTCATATACTGTGAACCGTTTGGGCGTGTGCTGGTTGAGGAGAGTCTCGAGCTCGTCTTGGCCCTTCCATGGTTGTGTTTGTGGAGGTAGTGAGATGAGCCAGGCTCTGGTGGCTGCGGATATTGGGGTTTCTGGCTTGGGTTTTTTGCCTCTTGGTTTTTCTTTCCTCTCTGTCATAGTTGCGTTATTCTGAAGAATGGGTTGGTGAAATAAAGTTGCTTATGAATATGCTCTTGAAATTGGAAATCGTGTATTCCTTCATTCGGCGCTGTATACGACCAAAATCTTTGGTGTTGCAAACCGTTAGTGCATTAGACGATTTTACAGGGGTCAGAACGGCTGCCACCTTGAGGACCGTTAGGAATAAGTGCCTTGGGAGTGGGGTGCCGCCAAACGAACAAACCAAAGTCAACCTCGGGAACTCCCTCGTTCTGTCTTCTCATCGTCACCTTCATTTGACCTTTGCACGAACATTTCTAGAATTCAATTGAGAGGATGGACGTATCAACTTTGTCAGCGCATTTGAGCTATCTCAACGATGCTGCTCATCTCCTCAGGGCGTCCGCCCCCGAAACCTCGGCGTATCTCATGAGCCACCACAACGAGCTCATGTTCATCAACACCGTTGAGCAAAACGACATTCAACGACAACACGTCTGCGGCGCCTGCGGTCACATCATGGTCCCCGGCCAGGGCACTACACTCAAGCTTGAGACTGAAAAGGCACTCAAGAAGAAGAGGCGCGGTGTTGTCAAGACCCAATCATCCAAGGCAAAGGTTGAACAGAAGCCGCAGCGGTCTGGCACGCGAAAGCTTTTCAGCTGTGGGAAGTGCAGCCGCACCACCAAGATCTCGTTCCCTGCGCCGCCACCGGCCGTGAGACGCCGGGCCAAAACTGAGCAGTTGCCCGCGAAGAAAAGTCAGCAAGCCGCTGTGGCCGAGGCAGCTAAACCGGCCACGTCTAACTCTAGCAGCAAGAAGCGTGCGAAGAACCGCAAGGCCGGGTTGCAGGCTCTTCTTAGCCAAGCCAAGACCTCGTCCTCGGCCAGGAATCTAAGTCTTGCCGACTTTGGACGGCTGGGTTGAGAAAGACTTTGGCATGCGCTTCCTTTTAACACTCACAACTTCCGGCTTCTTAGCTAAGTCACAGCGTCCACAGCTCCGTGGTCCTGTCAGTGGCGGCCATGACAAACCAGCAAAGCGGGCGGGCTATTCTCGGGAATATTCTCGAAAGTTTCCTGCCTTGGGAGGAACCTGGGGACCCGCTCAATGACACACATCGGTGCCCAGCCTGCAGGGCCTGCAGCTACGATTGCCCCTCCAAAAATTTCAAGACCCCGCCATCGCCATCCCCCGCGACTCCGATATCAAGCACCCGACAACGAAATCCCGTCGTTGCGCGATGAAGAGAAAGTACGACAGTTCCCAAGAAACACCTACCAACAACAAATCATTCGCCATGGCCGCTCCCGATTCCAATACCACTCCCAACGAGTTCTTCCAGGCCATCGGCTCCAAGGTCGATGGCAGCGATGACCAGAAGGTTGTCGAAGAGATTGAGTCTCTCTGCATGAACTGCGGAAAGAATGTGAGGATGCGCTACGTTCCAACTATCTGCTTGTCTTACTAACTTGGCGTCCAGGGAAACACCAGACTGCTCCTGACCTCGATCCCCTACTTCCGCGAAATCATCATCATGTCATTTGCCTGCGAAGAGTGCGGCTTCGCCAACAGCGAAGTCCAGCCTGCCGGCTCCATTCAGCCCAAGGGCACACACTACGAGCTCCGCCTGACCGCGATGGAAGACTTTGCGCGCCAGGTTGTCAAGTCCGATACGGCGACCGTCAAGTTTATCGAGCTCGACCTCGAGGTGCCCGCCGGCAAGGGCCAGCTTACAAACGTGGAGGGTCTCCTTAGCACAATCATCGACGATCTCGACTTTGGACAGGAGGCGCGCAAAGAGCAGATGCCCGAGGTCTACCCCAAGATTGCCGAGATTATCGAAAAGGGCCGCGCCATGCTCGCCGGCAGCTCTTTCCCCTTCCGTGTCACCGTCGACGACCCCGCCGGCAACTCCTTCATCACACCCGACTTGAAGGACGGTGTCGGCAAGTGGGAGAAGCACGAGTACCTCCGCAGCGCCGAGCAGAACGAGGCTCTGGGCATCTCCGCCGCACAGGCTGACGAGCTGGCCGCCGCTGCCAACCCTGGCTTGACCGCCGAGGGCGACATCGTCCCCAACGAAGTTTACAGTTTCCCCGCTAGCTGCCCGGGTTGCATGCACTCATGCACAACACACATGAAGATGGTTGACATTCCCCACTTCAAGCAGGTCGTCCTCATGTCCACCGTTTGCGACGAGTGCGGCTACCGCTCCAACGACGTCAAGACGGGTGGTGAGATTCCCGAAAAGGGAGAAAAGATCATCATCAAGGTCAACGGCCAAATCGATCTCGCCCGCGATATCCTCAAGTCCGAGACCTGCGCGCTCGAGTGCCCCGAGCTCAACCTGTCCGTCAACCCAGGCACCCTCGGCGGTCGCTTCACCACCATCGAGGGTCTCTTGACCCAGGTCCGCGACGACCTGAAGAGCCAGATCTTCCAAGCCGACGGCAGCTCCGGCGGCTCCGGCGGCTCCGGCGGTGACTCACTTGATCCTGCAGAGAAGACCAAGTGGACCACCTTCTTTGACAGTCTCGACGAGGCCATCAACGGCAACCGCGAGTTCACCGTCGTCCTCACCGATCCCCTCGCCAGCAGTTTCGTCCAGCCGCTCGTCGACCCTCCCGCGCCCGACCCATCTATCCAGCGCGAGTACTATGACCGTACACACGAGGAGGAGGAGGAGCTTGGCCTGTTAGACATGAAGGTGGAGGGGTATGAGGAGGAGGCTGCCAAGGAGGCTGAGGAGAGGGAAGCGGCGAAGAAGATGGATCAACTTTTGGACGCCAACATGGGCAAGAGCTCATAGGACGGTGGCGGACGAGGGTGGGAATGAGACGAGCGGCATGACGTATTTGGCTTTTACGTGAGGAAGGGAATGCGGGCAGTTGCAGGGATTGATAAAAAGAAGTACATGATGATGATACCTACGCATAGACGGGTTATTGAAAAGTTTTTTGAAGCCTTGGAAACATCTGGCGCGATTTGTGATTCTTTCTACGTGTGTCAACTGTCCTTGGTGGATGCCCACCTACTAAGATGCGCCGACGAGAGGAGTTTCTGGCAGGTAAGGTCCGGTATCATCCGTCCGATGATGCTTTTTTTGCATCTTTTTCTCCATATATAAACGCCTGGGAAGCGGGGGTATCTCATCGTACCAAAGACGAGTAAAAGAGTCTCTGATGCGAGATGGTTGATGGGCATTTTGAGCGATAATGAATAGTTCCTGCTAAAGGCTACTTGGTCTCTCCTTATCACACAGCGTTCTTAATACTTGGATGAAGGTTAGCTGGTCACTTTAAGTCATGCTCCGGTGGTAGTCACGTATTTTGCTATGAATATGTGCGAGCGTTCAAGTGGTATCGAGAGATTATTATTAGAAATAGGTTTCTTGCCTCGTCTATCACTCGAACGTATCAACTTCACATAGACATATAGCAGAATACCTCGTTGTAACGCCCATGTCAACGTTGTCGGAACACAAGTTGGGTCTTACTGCAAGCATACAAGACTGAGCGGCTTTTATAGCAGTCCCCGCCCACTCAGTCTTCTACCCCCTTTTTAATGGGCCTTGCAGATGGTGTGACGACTCAGGTCCTCACTCAACATGCTCGAGATCGATCGCAAGCAAATGAGCCAGGAGTGGCGATCTTTCACAGAAAGGAAGTCGAGGTTTGAAGGGGGAGCTAGTGTAAGCAGCTTCAAGACGAAAATTGGCAACCCCACATGTGTAACTCATGGTTCATTTGCTCCAAATCAAGCCATCGGCAAAACTATATAAAAACCCTCATGTCTATGAAACTAATAGTTCACATGCCTTTTCTCGCATAATTGCTCTGCTTCCTAAGCTTCGCTCCTCTCTGCAATTGCAGTTAGTAAAAAGGCGTTCACAGTTTACCCACGTTAAAAGGGGGGTTCATCCTTACCATGTACAAAATATACGGCAACGGCACAAACGCAACCGCAAAAATAGCCAAAATCATGCTCGACCCGAGAACGTCAAACCGGTAATACATGGGCGGTATAAACAACGGGAACGTAGCACCGCACATGGCGTTAAACAGCTCATTCCCCGCCAAAACAGAACTGACGTGGTCAGGGTACGACTCGGCGAGGTAATTCAGAATCGAGATATACAGCAACAACCCACCCGCCGTAAAAAGCGAGGAGCCGACAATGGGCACGAGGTAACTTATCTCGGGCCGCGCCGTCCACCCGAACCAGACTAAACTGGCAGGGATAAAGAGACACCCGACCATGGCTGGGTGGAGGTGCTTCTCTGGCTCAATGTTTCCCTCGCGGTCGAACTGCGGCTCGATGCGTTTGCGATAATAAAAAAAGAAGGGCGGGATCGTGAGGAGGACGCCTACGATGAGTCCTAGGAGCGCGATGCTTTGCTTTCCTGTGCCGAAGTGGTATACCTCGCCGTAGGCTTGCGGGAGGGCCTCGAACCAGATGTACATGAGCCCGTAGGCGAATGCGCTGTAGAGGTTCAGGAAGAAGACGGCTGGCTCGGTGAGGACGAGGGTGAAGGGGCGTACGAGGTGGGCTTTGAAGATCTCGCTGCCGGCGGTGTAATCTGCGCGTAGCTGCGCTTCGCAGACGAAGCCTGAGTCTCCCGTGACTTTCCGCAGACGCATGGCCCTCCGATAAAGAATGTTATCCGCGCTCGTCTCGGGCAGCAAGAAGATGAGCACCACCAGAATCCAGGCCGCTAACCAAGACACGATCCAGGCGGACCAGGCCCAGCCTTTCAGCTCGACGGCGAAGCCGCCGACGATGGGCCCTAGGGTGGGACCGCTGATGCCGATGAGGCAGAATGAGGCCATTGCGTAGGTGTGTTTGCGGGAGGCGAACATGTCGTTGAGGGTCCCGCCCGCGGAGCCGAGGACGGGGGAGCCGAAGAAGCCTGCGAGGAAGCGGAAGCCGAGGAGCATGCCGATGGAGGTGGCGAGGGCGATGGGGATCTGGGCGAGGCCGAAGATTGTGAGGGCGGGTATGTAGATTTGGTTGCGGCCGATTTGGGGGATTTCGGAGAGGGGGCTCCAGACCATCTTGCGTTTTTGTCAGTATGTGTGTGTGTGTGTGTGTGCCGATGAGGATAGGGGAGGGGGGGGAGGGAATAAATCAAGCGTAGACTCACTGGTCCGAGACCGTAGCCTAGGACAAAGACTGTCAGGCCTAGGAGGGCGACGACTTCCGAGACGCCGAATTGCTGGCGGACGCCGTGGGTGCCGACGGTGTAGATTGATGCGCCGGCGTAGACGGCGATGACGAGGAGGCAGATGTGGAAGCTGACGATGGCCTTTTTCAAGACGGACCAGTTTCTTGGGTTCTGTGAAGTACAACCTTAGCTTTAATGTCAGGGGGGTGGGATAGTGAGAAAGGGGGGTTGGATTTCTTTCGCTAACCTCTGGGTCATTTGGCAAGAACTCGACGAGATGGAGACCCTTTCTGTTCTCGATGCCATACTTTTCCCACGTCGTGCGGCTGATTGTCTGGTTGTTGGGCAAGTCGCTGTCTGCTTTCTCCGAGTCTAGTGAGAATTCTCGGACCTGAGTGTGTCTTGAAGCGTACGAGAGTCTACGTTTCCAAACAAATGAGTTAACCATCGACATTTTGCCCCTTTCCCCCCCCCACGAGTGTCGTTGTCACTTACCCCGAGTTTGAACGATCATAGCCGCTTTCCGTGTATCGCTGACGGATCAAAGGATATCTCTCGTCAAAGTATTGGAACGCCGGGTGTCTGGCCCTGGTGACTGCTCGAATGACGTGCCATGCCCAGGTATCTCGAACGAGCTCGTTGAAAGTCATGTTGTCGCGCGTCGTATCTAGTGTCAACTTCCTCGCCTAGCAAAAGACTCAAATGTCGAGGTAGAATTCAAGACACGTCGATCCTCTATATGAAGAGGATAAGAACGTACAGAAACGAATTCGAGGCGGTAGTCCGTCAAGTTTCAACTTTCTGAATTGTCTAGATGACCGTCATCGTCCTAAGCAGCGAACAACGCGAAGAATACGTGTTTCTTGATAGTTCAAAAAAACGTTGATGGCCGCGGATCCCCGACAAAAACGCACTGATTTCCACTTACCCCCCTTCAAGAAGAACCGAAGTTGTGGGAGCCGTTGGAAATTTGTTTCGCTGCCTCCGGGGGAGAGGCACACGCCCCCCCTCCTCTACTTGCCCGAATACGTCCAGTGTGAAACTTTGCAAACTGAGTTGCGCAAATGTGTTCAGTCGGGAAAGAGGTGTGGCATGGCTGAGCGGTACGGGCTCATCCCCATGGACAATGCACTGCCTATGGCGGTAAGTTGCTTCGAGCATCCTTTTCCCAGGCTTCCGGGCGGCGCTCCCGGCTCGAGTTTCCACTCTTTTCGTCCCGTCCGGTTCTGCGGATTAGCCCACCTACCGGTATGGGGCCGTGTGTCCCCCCCCCCGCGACTTTGGCCAGAACTTGGTCTTGGCTAACTAAGAGTGTTTCCATGCGTTTGACGTCACTGAAACAAACTTGATCGAATCATCGTACAGCTGGAGAGAAGTTGAGAGAGTCAAATACACTGTCGACGAGCCTTTCATTTGTTCAATTAGTCAGGTGGTCACGCTAGACGGACGATATGTAGAGTATTTGAGAATCATGTCGCTTGCTGTCAAGCTGTACCCAACTCTTTTGGCGCATCTAGCACTGATATTCAGTCATTACTTTGAATTCTTTGCTTGATTTCGTGTTCCAAAGGCTGAATCAAGACAGGAAAATCTCGTCGAGGCAAATCGTCTCGCATCAGCTGAAGTTGAAAAATCAAAGCGTTCGCAACAGAGGTGTAAGTTGACAGCCTCCCCCCCTCCCCGCCGTGAAGTGGGGGGTGGTGGCTTTCATGCGTGCAGACCACAGTCGGCAGGGCAGCAAGCTCGAGTCGGCACCCGGAGCTCAATGCACCGATGCCGGGGGCCCCAATGAAGTGGTCCACCACGCAACCTTAAACCTCCAGTCGCATACGTCCAGCATGCATACAGCTGCTGGAAGCTAGCTTTTGCGCCGTTGACAACACCAGACGACCACACAACGATTCGAGTTCGCAATCGAAACCACCAGACAAACATCCAACATGTCCGTCACATTACATACGAATCTCGGCGACCTCAAGATCGAAGTCTTCTGCGAGAGCGTCCCAAAAACAGCAGAGGTAAGACCACCACTTCCATCATCCCAATCATCCCAAAAACTTCCCCCTTCGCATCCCACCCGCGGCCGACTCACCAACCACCACCAACCCCCCAAATCGCATCGCGAGACACTCCACCAAACAGACGACTAACCCCTCTCCTCTCTCTCCTCACACAGAATTTCCTCGCCCTCTGCGCATCACACTACTACGACGCCTCCCCCTTCCACCGCCTCATCCCGAAATTCATGGCCCAGACCGGCGGTCCCGCGCACCCCTCCCCGCCCGACAACCCAAAGGGCGGCCGCTCCATCTGGGGCGGCGTCTTTGACGACGAGATCCGTCCGGCCCTCAAGCACGGCGCGCGCGGCGTCGTGTCCATGGCCAATAAAGGGCCCGGCACAAACGGCTCGCAGTTTTTCGTGCTCTTTGACAAGGCGCCGCACCTGGATGGGCTCAATACCGTGTTTGGGCGGATCATTGGCGACGATAGCACCGTTACGCTGGGCAAGATTGAGGCGGTCGAGGTGGATCGGAAGAATCGGCCCAAGGAGCCGGTTGTGATTGAGAGGGTTACTGTTCATGCGAATCCGCTTGCTGGGTGAGAGAGAGAGAGAGAGAGAGAGAGAGAGAGAGAGAGACAGGGGTTGGTGTGTTGAGGATCGTGAGGGAATATGAAGAAGGGAGGTTTCGTGTATGGCTTCCGTGGGGGAAGGGGGCCGGCCATTGGGAGGGAAAGGGCCCCTGAAAAGCTATGATACCCGTACGTCAAACGGTTCAAGACTGTCCTGACGGCACACAATTGTTTAGATGAAAAGAAAGGACTTTTGCTTTTGCCAACCCTCTCGCTCGGCCAGCTAGGGGCGACCTGTTGTATCCTGTAAGGGGCCTAGCCGGCGTGTCTGATGCTGAGTTCAGGTTGCCAGGCAAGAGAGTGACTGAGAGCTTTACCGAGGCCTTGGAAGATGAAGGACCCGCGAGTCCAGAGTTTGAAGAACCGGGGGAAGCAGTAGAGGCCAGTTCTGCACTGTGGTTCTTTCGGTTCTTCACCTCACTTCTACCAATGGTACATCATCTCATAAAGTAAACCCGTTATTGTTGGCGAATGATCTAGGTGCTTGAAGTGTGTCAGAGAGAAAAGCAGAACAAACTAATGTAAAGTATGGCTCTTCTGTGCCTTCCACTTCCACATCAACTTTCCGCCTTGACATGTTGAAGCTGCCGATCAAGCTCAGCTCAGCGGGGATATCAGCAACAAAACATCCCCATCACTTCAAGCATCATCCAAATCCAACATCATTAGAAAGACACGTCTAGACACGGGTATGCAAAAATCAAGAAACATGATCCATAATTCGCCTTCGCTATAAGATACCATAACAAAAAAAGGCGTCAGCGTACAAAGCCAAGCCAGCCAGGTGAAGTAAACAAACTCAAGAACCCTATGATGCAAACAGAATATACAGAAATGTGGTGCAGCCCAAACTCCGCCTATGTGAGATATGGCCAGAGTACTAGGATCAACAACAAAAGGGAGGGGGTTACCAAACAATAAAATGACGAGGGGAAAAAAAGTTGTTTGACATATCCTCCATACGGGTCATTGACACCATAACACATGTGTATGACCATTCATTTATAACTGCCGCTGCATTCATGGAGCCGGCGCAGCAGCGGCTTTCTCCGGCTCGCCCGCCGCCGCCGCCGCTTCCGCCGCCACCTCTCCTTCCTCTTCCTCTTCTTCTTCCTCTTCTTCCACTTCTTCGTATTCAACCTCCTCTTCCTCCTCCTCGCCCTCCTCCGCAACGATACCATTTTGCCTCTCCCAGACCTGCCTTCGAATCATATCATCCTTGGCCGTGCGCGCCCTTTCCACCTCCTCGAAGCCGCCAGACTTCTTCAACTTGCCCTCCTCGACAAAGTTGGACAGCTCCCTCTGCAGCTCGTTACCCTTCCGGCCCTCAAGCTCCTTCTGTCTCAGTTTCTCCGCGCGCTCGATGGCCTCAAGGCGGTTCTCGTGGTTGGGCTGAAGAGCCCTCACCTCGCCGAGAACACCATCCTTGGCCGCATTCGGGTCGAGGTTGTTTCCGATACCGTTCAGCCCCTTGGAAAAGTTACGCGCACTGCCGGCGCTGGCGCCCGTCCCGTTGTCCTTCAACTGCTCCTTGGTAGCCTGCTCGACGAGCGCAAAGGTCTCGGACGCCTTCTCCAGGTCATCCTGCAGATCAATCATGAGATCCTCCATAAGGCGCAGCTCATCACGGCCCTTGCACACGTCCTCAAGCTCCTTCTCCCAGATCTTGGTCCAGATGGGCTTCTCTTCCTTCATGTAATCCTCCACCTTCTTGAGCTCCTTGGAAAGCTTCGTGATATCCATCGCGACAGTCTCCAGTTGCCTAGGCAGGGGCCGCACACCACGGAGAACCACATCCTTGCGGAGGTCTTCGACCAAATCTTGCAAGTCGTCGACCTTTGTGACGAGCCGATCGGAATCTGTGTTGAGCTGCTCGCGACCCTTGGTGACGTAGGCATGGCCAGTCTCGCCATCAATGGTCGGTATCGAGGCCTTGACCACCGCCGCCTTGACGTTGCTTGCCTTGCTGCGGATGGCTGACATGGAGCCTTGAATCTCCGACTGGAAGCTGGAGTAGGCCTGGCGCATGACAGCGAGGTCACGTCGCAGAGTCTGGATCTCGGTGATGTGTCCGGAGGCAAGCTTACGGCCGCCAGCAAGGCTCACTGACTTGGATCCATCAGCAGGCGCAGACACAGCCGGAGGGGCGGCAGCAAGCCTGGCCATCTCCGCAACCGCCTCTTGCTGACGTTCCGAAACTCGCTGAAGGGCCAGACCCTGGTCGTCTTGGTTCTGCTTCACATCCTGTACTATCTTCTTCAGTTGCCCGATGCCCTCGTCGATGTGGCGTTTTACTTCATCGAGCGCCTCGACATTCAAAGCTAACACTGTTCGGTCCTTTATGTCTGACAGGTCTTCAAGTTCGTGCCTAACCCCGGATACGGGGTCTTGTATATAAATCTCTGGAAGATCAGCACCGTTGGAGTGCGTATTCCAAGAGAACTTTTCGATAAAGGCCAGCTGAAGGCGTCCGATCGAGAGCTCGCTGTACCCCTCAGGCAGCACAAACTTCTTGACTTTGGACTTGTATTGCAAGAACAACGTCAGCTCCGTGGTGAGCGGCGGAGACTGCTCGTGAAGGAAGCTGGCATCGCGCTTCTTCTCCGGGGTCTTGACCCCCGGTGAAACCTTCGGTTCGTCCTTGCGTGGTGGTTCAGGCTTGCCATCATCGTCGTCAGGTGACATAATAGGAAGATCATCGCTGAGAGGGCCTCTCAGGGTAGCGCTGGGTTTTGGGTACTTGTCCTCCGGCGTTTGAATCGTTGGACTTTCGGGCCTGCCTGCCGACAGCTCCGCTGCGGCCTCATTGTTGATTCGGCTCGGTGCCGGAGAGGTATCTAGTTGTGGCTGCTTCGAGGCCCGATTTTGGCGGAGCGTCTCTCGGGTCTGAACAGCACGCAGAGACTCCCGGACTTCGCCCCGCCCGCGGTTCGGTATCGGTGAGTTTTGTGATGGCAGCATTGGTACGCCATTCATGGCACTGCCTAGGTGCTTAGATATTTGATACTGCGAGTAACGCCGAGAAGCTCTTCTCTCCAGGTCACCGCCCTTCTGCAAAGCCGCGAATGCGCTTGATTGCTGCTTTGGAGGAGGCGGTGGCGGCGGGAAAGAGTCAACGTTGACTTCTCCAGATTGCGCAGAGGGCATCGTCGCCTCATCTCCGGGGTACGGAGGCATGACGGGGATGTTTTGCATTGTCGTGCTAGACATGGAAGACTGCTCCGAGTTGACGGAGCCGCGCGACTGATCTCTCGGGGGCAGGTGGCGACGACTTGGAGAGGTGCTTGCTGGGGCGGCACCGGCAGATTGGGAGGATTCCCTCTGAGCGTCTGGTCGATAGCCATTCTGAATGCCCTCCTCCAACAGATTCGTTAACCCAGTGTTGCCACTGCCAATCGTGCTCGTGCTTGTCGTCCGCTCCGGCGCGCCTCCTGAGCCCCCGCTTTCCCTGTCTCGTGGTTGTTTTTGCCGCAGCTTTTGCTGTTTGCGCTTCAATCCATGGAGCAGGTTGATGATGATGTCTCGAATCCGTGGAAGGTATTTCTCCAAGCTTTCGGTGCTCGCTTCTTGGCTCAAGGTAGACTCTAGTATGCTTCGTAACAGTTCGGGAACGTTGCCCAGGTCGGAGGTATCCACGTTGATGGCAGTGAAGGCTCGGCATGCCATGTTGAACTCGTATCCTAGTCTGACATACACATCGGACACCTGACCGTCAGTAGCTTGGCCGCGCGACCATTGTGTAAGGGTTTCCAGTAGTTGTTTGGTTGCGACTAGCAGGTGGGTGACGCTCTTCTCAATTTGTGATAGAGGCATGGCTGAACTGCTGGTAGAATTCTGTAGATCGAAACTCGGTCAGCTGCTGGACAGATAAAAACAGTGGTGGCAGAAGCACATGGGATCGTTGCGCAGCCATCGTATCTGGTGGAAGCTCGAGAATGACTTCCTGGTTGCTGGAATGCGTAATCAGACTCACATTTGATCTCCGCATCCCATTTGGCGGGGCGGATCGGTTTGAGGCGTTGGAAGCTCTCGGCTGCATACCGGTACCCGGTGATATTGACCGGACGGGCACATTCGGCGGCGGCCCAGGTTCGGCACCTGGGGAGCGCCGTTGCATGCGCTGGGAAGAGGTCGGCGCCTGCATCGTAACTCAAGTCGGCGGGTTTCCTCGTCTTTGCGATTCTCTGGTCCACCTCTTCCTTGCGCTTCCCCAAATAGTTACTCCGAGATGAGGTACCCAAAAAGTTAAGACGAGCGAGTCGGTAGAAGTTTGTGGAAATGGCTGGATCGGCTCGCAAACGTTTATTGAAGCAGAGGGTTGAAATTCATGCCACGAGAAGCAAAGACAGCAAAGGGCGGATTCTGCGAAGCTGCTGCCGAGGTGTATGTGCGTACGTCGGGGCAATATGTCGAGATTCGTCTCATCCGATGCCTAGTCCGAGGGCGAAGAGATCGATACGGCGAACGGTGGTCGGCGGTAAGGGGGAACGGTTCCGTCCGGTTCGGTGCGAAGGATGGGGTTTTGTTCTATGTGCGAGATGGAAGCTGTAAAAGCAAGGGCTAAAACGCGTCCCGGAGAAGCGAGCGGAAGTTCTGCGATATAGGTGGTGGATGATAGGTTATCGGGGATGCCGTCGATGGCGTTGTCGTCCGTAACGAGATGGTCGGCGCGCGCAGAATGTCGCAGATTGTGTGATTAGTAGCGAGACCTGAGGGAGGGAAAATCGACAAGGCCAGGATCGGTTGCAGATGGCAGAGCGCAAAAGGCAATGCAGCAGAATGCAGAGCAGGAAGCACAGCAATTACGAAGTGGAATTTCAGGTGAAGTATGTATGTGCGAGGTACAAGTTGCAGCACGTATATGCAATGTCGAACCGTGTTCGGAAAGCGGAGAGGTCTCTGGCCGTATCCGTAGCTTTTTCGGCCCAAAGACCCAGAACTTCTACAGCCCAAAGAGATTGAAGCAAGGGGACGGGACCGCACACTTTCCATGCTCTGCTTTTTTCTTCAGTGCCCTTCTCCTCTTCTTCTTTAACCTTGCCCTTCTCCGTCATCCCTCCCCCAGTAGAGAGTACATAAAGCATAAGGTACCTCGTGGCACGCGTGGCACGGTACTCGTCGGTTGCACCTTGAAGCGGCCCCCCCAGTCCAAGCCCGCTGCCCGTCACCTCATCCTGACAGTGGAGCGCTGTATGGGCTCCTCCCACTGGCTCCTTCAGTGGCTTGATACCCTTGTCAAGGATGAATCCAGGGTGCACGTACCCCGTTTACCAGCCACCCGATATGCAACTCCGTACCGCTAACCACTCACCCACTCACCATTCACCACCACCTCAGTTCAACCAGTGAGTCTGAACCGTCCATCCATCCATCCACCTATCTCAACCAGAACCAGGAATATCACCCCTTGAGCCCGAATTACATACAACATCATGGATGAAACACTAAAGAATGTTTCAAAACATCGATAGTCTGTGATGTTTGTTCTGCAGAGCGGGGTGCACTACCACTTCGTATGAACATCTCCAAAGTCAATCCTCATTATCTAAGGGAACATCTCAACTTCATCGCGATAGACTCGCACCTGATATGCACTTCCTCGCATGCGCAAAGAAAAAGGATGCAGAGGAGTGTCCGGGCGTTGCTCCAGCTAGCTCCAGAATTATACGGATAGTTGCTCTTCTTCAGACGCCCTGATGGAGTAAAAGCCAACGAAGCCACGGTCAGTGCATCCAAGCTTTCCTATTATCCTCCTGTCATTCAAGTCTACTAGACTACCATACCCGTGACCTCGGAGTAACGGCGTTGTTTCTCGACGTCTAAACCCTGCGAACCGTTGTCAGAGGAAAATGAGTCTGGTGTTTCAACCTTTTCCTCCTGGCTGGGCTCTCCATGGCTTGGGCGCATCATTACATCACCAAAGTGACCAAACTGCAAGTTCATTCTACTTTATTCCCCATGACCTGCACAACGAACCATTGAGCTCTCTCGAATATTACTAGCAGTGATGACAGTCTATCCAGAGCTTGTCATTCCTGGCCACGTTTCTCGCACCTGACAGGCGTAACAGGGCACTGCGCCACCCGACAAAGATTAAGATCAACCCCATCCATCCCAGAGGCATGGGTTGGCAACCAAAGTGCGGAAAATAAAGCGAACATGGGCTACAGGGACCTTAACCCGACTCCAAAACCTATCGTGCGTCGTTACACACACCGCGTTCTGCAAATAAAACTCAGCCACACATCTGCGCAGTTGCCAGTCACCGCTTCTACTAAGACGCCAGCATCCTGCGCATGAAAAAGAACGAGTGTACCATGGCACTCGCCAACGGATGCAACACCCACGGCGTCTCGAACTTGACATGCCTCGCTATCGACGTCGCGATGGTCGTTCGCGGCGAGCCAGGCGTGAACATCCAGTCGTGCATGAGCTCGTCCGTCAGCCGCTGCACCTTTTCCATGCGCGGGAACATTTCCTTCTCGAACGACTCGATCCTTTTGTCTAGATAGTCGGCTGCATCTGCACCTGTACCTGCACCTGCACCGCCGCCCTCAGCGACAGCGCTGATGATGGCTCTGGCTAGCTTCATCGCATCCTCGAGCGCAACGTTGACCCCCTCGCCTGCAAAGGGCGTCATCAAGTGTGCCGCATCCCCAATGACGGTCACACCGCGCCGATGCGGCCACGTGAAGCCTACGGGCAGCATATAAAGCGACCTCGGCGTGCACTCCCCCGCAGCCTTGGTGATCGCCTCGGTGAGCTCCGGGCCCAGTCCTAATATAAGACCAAAAGCGCCTTCTTGACTGCCTCGAGGTCGTGCGGACCATACCCGCAGACCTCGGGGGACGCCCAGTCCTCCCCGCCGCCTGTGCTCGACGCATATATACTCAGGCTGCCATCGCCCATCTGTTGAATTGAGAGACGCTTACCGTCGCTGTTGGCAAACAAACTACCTCTGTTGGCGAGCTTGTAGACCTCGGGCGCCGTCCCGGCCGCGTTCGGAATGCTCATGCCGTATAACATGATTCCCGTCCATAGAGGCTTGATATCTGGCGCGAAGAGTCTGCGGACCTTGCTCCAAGCCCCGTCCGCGCCTACGACGAGATCAAACCCACCAATAGTGGTATGTTCAAAGACGAGACTGCCATCTTCTCTGACTTCCTTAAGGCGGTGACCCATTGAATCATATCCGGCGGAAGAGACGCCGCAAGAATCTCACGCAACTTGGGGCGGTCAATCTCCGGACGCTCCTGCACCGTGCTACCGAACCCTGTCGCGGAGTTGACGAACCAGGACTTGTTGTTCTTGTCGACGATGGCCATGTGCTGGCCGTCGTAGCGCGCGTGCTTGAGGAACTCGTCAAAGAGGTCTGCTTCCTTGAGCGCGGCTAGCCCCGTGTCTGTGTGCAGATCCAGACTTCCGCCTTGCGATCGGAAGTTTGGCGAGGCTTCGCTTTCGAAGACGGTTGCTTCGATGTTGGCTAGGTGTAAGAGGCGTGCTAAGAGGCACCCTGACAGATTTGTCAGTTTGCTGACTGGGAACTGTATACGAGGACTGTGCAGCGCGATGCTTAAAAATAGCTTACCTGCAGGTCCTGCTCCGATGATTGCTATCTTGGGATTCGACATGGCTGATCAGGCCTGTTAAGTAGGTGACAGCGGCCGACACTTTCCACGATCAGAAAGACGAGATGTTGAGCCCCAATAAAGGCTTCCTGGCGTGAACGATGTGGGAATATTGCTCTAATCGACAAGGCCCCAGAGTGATAATCCGCACATGTAACTTTGGTGATGAATTTATTGGATGATAATGAGACCAAGCAAGTGTCGTGTCGACTACATGGAATGAAGTTCGCGTGGACAGGACGTTGCTATGTACATATCGCCGGATTCGTTGCGTCGGGGTTCACTGACGTAACTGACCGACAGCGTCATTCTCTCATTCTAGCATGCCGTCTTGGATGTATTCAATCAAGGGAACAAGTGGGAAAGTAGGCGCGTAGTCCTTTCGCAACCGCATTCGCTAATTAGTGCAGTAGTCCTCCATGGAATAGAACGTGTCATAGGTGAGTGGCTAGAGGGACTGTGGCTGCGTATCCGTACAATTGCTCCGGAATCCCGTTTTACACGAGCTCTTGGGCTGATAGCTTTCCTACGAAATCCGTTCCACGCTGTAAGTAGCACCAAATAGGCCAAAGGCGATGGCGCAGCTGAGTATTACAGCCACAAGATTGTATAAGTGCAAAGCCTACCGCCAGATTAGTTGCCACCCGTAATAACGCGAGATCTGGTTATCACGAGGCTATTCACTGGGAAAGGCCACAAATATCTAATGTCGTGTTGCTGCATTGAAGTTTGAATATCAGAAAGGGATCCTGCCATCTCATGTTTCTGTGTTCTGAGTGGTCAAGTACCTCTAGAGGCCAGAAGAGTGGGTCTCCACTCACCCGTCCACTGCCGCCGTGCCGCCGTGCCGCCGTCCTCGTCGCTTGGGAATCAATCTTGCTGCCTGAGGCCACCAAAGGCATCGAACTCGGAGCTTGCACTTCGGGGAATCCAGAAACCTTCAATTGATCACATCTGCCCGAGCTGACTGCCCCCCCCCATAAACCACCGTCCATCAACAAATCCAAACAACCGCCAAAATGGTCTTCGCCTGGAAAGCCGCCGGTATCACGTGAGTTCAATTGATGAACCCCTCGAAACCTTTGCATCCGTTGCAATTGGGGCCGCCTGCGACCGAAGTCTGGATGGATGGGAGCCGAGAAAGAGAGAGAGGAAAAAGCTAACCCGGCAACCCCCGATTTCCAGCTACAACCGCTACCTCGCCGTCGCCTCGCGCGTCGTGCGCCGCAGCCTGAAGGAGGACAAGAGACTCGTTGCCGAGCGTCGCGGCGAGATGGAACTTCGTTTCGCCAAGTGGGAGGTGAGCAAATCGATCCGAACCGAAGCAGCGATGGGGAACCGATGGGCATCGAACAGAATGACTGACTCCAATTTACCGCAACCGCAGAACGGCAAGCAGGGCGATGTCAAGAACCTTGCAGAGGCCACCGTCAACGTCCCTCCCCCTTCTTCGTAAACTTCCGAATCGACAATTGAAGCACGTGTGAGAGAACAGAGGGAATTGCATCCATGGGTTATCGAGGGATAGACGGGGGAAATGATGGGGAGTGTATGCATACCACGACACCTCTCCCCGGGTACCCGCCGGCTCAACTTGACGGTTGAGTTGCTGTATCATATCAAAAACTGGGCATAAAATCTATCAATCGAAATGCCATGCTAAGACTTTTTGTCCGATTAAACTTGAAATGTGTACGACCAGGCGCCGGTGATGAAATGTTGCGATGTCGGGGGTCCTGTTGCGGGTGACCGGCGCGCGCGCTCGCTCGACTTCGGCCAGAAGGTAGGGCGTGCTTTCCAGGTTCCCTCCACCCAAATTTGCCCGCCTGCCGGACAAATTCGGTTGTGATCAATCACTCCATGTGTTCCCTTTCCAGATACCCGTAACTCGCAACTACACCAAAATCGCAATTTTCGTATTGAAGCAACAGACATAAATGCTGCACTTTCATTCTCGACTGCTTGTTGATATCATTTTCGTAAGGGACTAGGGCAGATCATCGTGTTCCCGAATTTACCGGCAGTTTTTTTCCCTCCTTAATGGGCATATCCATGCCCAGGCCGATGCAACTGTGACCTCACTAAAACCTGCACTCTCAACGCACCCACTCAACCAAGGGTCTCATGAGGTGCAATTGCTGATATGGCCATCCCGTCCGGCTTTGGAGTGTCCGATGGTGAGAAATCCCCCCTCAGGACACTTTTTTTTTGGCATCACGTCTCTCACCATTCTTCAAGACATTTCAAGGCTCTCGCTTGAGCAAGAGCGTGAACCCCACCCTCCGCCGCCTCCGCCGCCTCCGCCCAATGTGTCAAACCACGGCATCGTCTCGTTTGATATCACGTCAAAATTCAAGACGGCCGCCGGAAGTAAGCTGCAGAATCTCATCACTACGAGGACGGGATATTGGACTGACTGTCTACGCAGCGCTTGCTCCTGGCGAACTGGTCAAGGATGGCTTCTTCACGCTGTTTGAGTCCGTTGGGGCTCTCGAGGTACGTGGACCGCGGGGTTTGATGGCGGCGGCTATGAGTGCACCCTACTGACAGCACCCCAACTCAGATCATGGACCCAAAGATGGACAGCGGCTGCTTGGAAGCCGAGGATTCGCTAGACGTGGACTATGATGTGACACGCCCTCTTCTCCCTGAGGAGGTTCTTGGCATAATTGACCAGCTGCTCTGCCACGAAGTCAGTATCGCGCCCTAAGAGTCACCATCTCTGATTGCTGACTTTGGTTTGCAGATGGCCTGGCATGTTGGATACCCCCTCTCTCAGACCGTGCTCACAAGTGTGTACGTCGAGTCGATCCTCATGCCGAATCCTGCCACCATCGACGACGCGCACTTCATCAGAGATGCCAACGGCACGCCGCCGGCGCCGATGCATGCCGTTCTTCGAGCGTATTGCTTGGGACTCTTGAAGACATGCGGCAACGTCAATGAGAGGATTAAGAATGAGCATTACTATGAAGTCAGTCTCTCCGCAGCGGTTCGCTCTCACACACACATCTCCCTAGCTGACCAAATGACATAGGAAGAGGACTTTGTCACAAATACGTACAACAGAATCCTCCTCGACGACTTTAGTGTAGAGTCCGTACGCGATGTTCTCAAGGACGCAAGCTTCATTCTGCGGCAACTATCGGATTCAGTACCAAAGGAGACCACCGACGCGCTCAACAACAGACTGCTTCTCCGGTACACGTTCCTCGCAGCCATAGACCATACGCAGTACCGGACAGATCCGGCCCTGATCAGAAGCCCGTGGAAAGAAGCCCTGGATTTGCTTCCTAGCATCAAGAGCACTCATGCGCTGGGTAAACCTGTACCGGAGGCTTGTAGTGCGAAACTCCAGCGCAAGCTCGCCAGCACGATGCCGCCGCGGCCCATTGTCGAGATAAGTTTTGATGAGGCCTTTGGACATCTCACGAAGATGATTAGCGACGGTTTGGAAGTCGTCGGAGTGCTCGATTACACCGACGCCATCTGCCTCCAGGTATATAACCCCTCAAACATATCCACATTCTTTCGGTCACTACTCACACAAATGTCTAGACCTACGTAACGACCTTTCAAGCAAAGAAACCCCAGCCCCTAATCTTCGTCCGCACCCTCCTCCAAAGCTTCCTCTTCAAAGACATGCAAGTCCTCGGCCACAAATCCATCCGCCAGCTCCTCGACGACGACTTCGCCATCGTCTCCCTCCCCAACAGCCCCCTCCTCGACCGCGCCAACGACGACGTCGAGGCCACCCACGACCCGCGCCAGGCCATTGCCGAAAACATGGAATCCTTCCGCCTCCGCGCCGCCCAGCCCTACCTCGACATCCTCCGCACCTTTTGCCAGAACCGATGCCGCGTCCGCCGCACGCTGTGCCACATTGTCCGCGACTGGGAGAACCTCCAGTTCGACGCCGAGGATTTCGACCAGGTCATCCAAGGTCACGCCGGCGAGCGGCCCCTCGTGTATCACTCCGCCGGCGGCCAGCCCGTCGAGCAGTGGTCCCTCCCGCTCTCGTCGTGGGCGTACCTGTACAAGGTGAAGCAGATGGAGTGGATCGTCCAGCTCGGCTTCGAGCTCGAGGTCTACCAGCCAGACGAGCTGGCGGGCATGTACTGGTACCTCAACTTCCTCGCAAAGAACCGCCTCACGCACGTAGAGCGCATAAAGTCCTTTGTCGTCCGGAGCCTGAACCAAGCTCGCTCGGCCAGCAAATCATCATCATCATCATCATCATCATCCTCGTCAGGCCGCCTCACGCCAGCCGCAGAAGCCCAATACACCAAAACCCTCGCCTTCCTCCGCCTAACCCTCCTCGACGCCGCCGCGACAGAAAGCCTCGCCGACGCCCTCTGCTGCCTATACACCGTCCTCCACCGCCACAACCTCATCACCCCGCCGCCCCGCCCTTACAGCACCGACGAGCTCCGCTACGAGCTGCGGATGAATCCCTTTGCCGCCATCGGCCTGCCCTCGCTCCCGACGTTTGAGGAGTATACCATCGGCACCCAGCAGTCCGAATGCCCCACGGCAGACCTGCTGGAGCTCGCCGACCGGGCCGTGGCGGGCGCGAAGAAGGCGCTGGAGGTCGTGAGCAAGTTTCCCGAGGCGGAGGCGTTTTCTGTCGGGTCACATGATCGATGGGTGCCGTCGGTGAAGAACGCGCTCAAGTCGTGCATCGCTACGGGGTTGGCCGTCTCGGTTGTGCGAAAGGCGCTAGACAAGTCGGGCGCGGGCGGGGAGCTGAAGCTCAGGGCCGAGGTGCCGACTCCTGATAAGTCGTATCACGAGTGGTGGATCGTTCCGCGCATCATACCCGTCGCATGATAGGTCCATAGCTCCCGTGACAAGAGTGTGTGGCCCGAGGCACATGCGTAGTAGATGCGTAGTGGATTCATTGATATCCTACTTTCTAAAGAGAAAAAAAATAAAACTTCATAGAATACACATCCCTTCCCAAATTTGCCGGGAATCATGTGATACCTAAATCCCAAGGAACCCCCATGTGTCCAACGCTTTATCCAACCTGTTTTTACCCCGTGTTGATATTCCCACAAATAAATCAATACAAGTCTTTGTCTGTCATGAAAATGACTGCTTGCATATATGCTGAGCGGCCCACGCTGATAATGCGCATTGTTGCCTCTAGCTTGCTTATTCTATATATATGCTGGTATATCCCCATCAACATACCCGAGGTCAAATTTTTTGAACTCGGGGCGGAGGGGGGGGACTAAGTTTGGCTCTTTGACGTGATTTACGCGCGCTTCTTGGCGGCAATCGTCCTGAGCTTGACGGTCTGCTCGTAGAGAACGTCCTTGAAGGCGAAGAGCAATGCGGCGGTCAACACACTCTGGGTGACCTTGGGGCCGATGCCTGCGAAGTGAGTGGTCAGCTTTGCGTCACCCGAAAAGAAAAAATACATTCGTCTCGGACCAACATCCGAGGTGACTCACCCTTGTAAAGACCGGCGTAGCCCTCCTCCCGGATGACCCTGCTAATAGCCTGGGACATGCCCTCCTTCTTCTCGCCGTTGCCGGCGACGTGCATCTGGCTCTTGACCGTGATGTACGGGTACGTGACCGAGGTCGCAAACAACTTGCCCGCGGCACCGAGGAAGAAGGCAATGGTCGGCGTGACCCGCCTCTTCTTCTCGACCGTGTTCTTCATCTGCTCAAAGAGGGTGTACTGCAGAATCGGGTTAATGACGAGCACCAGCGCCGGGATGACGCCGTTGAAGAGCGCCTGGGGGCCCTCGTTCTTGATGAGCGCAAGCAGGGTGCCAATAGTCGAGGGCGCCTTCTTGGGCTTCGCAACCTGGGCTTCTTCATCGGTGGAAGCACCGGCTTCCTTGCCCTTGTTGGCATTGTTCCCGCCGCGGGTGGTCATGCGGGTGTTGACGACCCAGATGGGGTTCGTGATGATGACGGTCGCGGAGCCGGCGATGGCGCCGGCGATCATGGACTCGACGGTCGTGAGCTTCTTGGAGGCGCGGCCGGCCTTTTCGGCGGCGGCCTCAAAGAAGGCGCGGGTGAACTCGTACCAGTAGTAGTAGACGAAATTGGTGACGCTGATGCCGAAGAGGGCGGATTCGAGACCCGAGTAGAGGCCCGAGACGCCCTCGCGGGCGACAATCTTTTGGACGGCTGTGAGGAAGGCCGAGTCGGCGCGCTTGGATTCGACTTGGGCTCGGGTGGAGAGGGTGATGAGGGGGTAGCTGTTGGGCGGGAAACACGCGCGCGAGTTAGTAAGAGTATAATACGGGGGTCTTGCGATGGCCTTACGTCAGGGCCATGGAGAGGAGACCACCACCGGCACCGGCGAGGGCGTGGGCGACATTGTCGTTTTGGGGGAGCACTGGCTTCGACATTGTGGTTGAGGTTGAGTGGATGGATGATGGGTGTGGTGTCGTAGTGTAAGCTCGTGGGAAAAGCTTCGATAGATGGGACGATGGTGTATTATCGACTTTTAAAACTGATGCTGCATCCAAATGCGGGAGACGATGTGGGTGTAGGTGGTATCGTTGCGACGGTAATAATAATGGTAGTAGGTGGTAAAGTTGCTGCTGACTGGCCCTATGCCATCTCAAACAAGAACGTTCGGTTCCTTCTGGGTTCTGGGGAGCCGAGGTCAAGAACGTTTTGAATGCCGAAGGGGAGGGGGGGATCGGAGGGAGTGAGGAGGGCAGTGATGGGCAGTCGTCGTCTGCCGCTAAGAACCTTAACCCCAGTTATGTCATTACCTGCCCGTGCTGCCGTGCTATATATTTCATGCGCGCGATCACAGGACAAGGGGGCTGACAAAGGAGTCGCATGTGATGGGGTCCTCCTCCCCAGGCGTCTGGCACGGTCTGAGGTGGCACGGCCTGGGAATCCGGGTCCCTTCGGGAGCTCGTGGGGTCGGAGCTATTTCGGTGGCCGGGAAGATATGCTTCATTTGGGAAGAAAATACGCTTTCCCATCTTCCTCGTTGTTTTTACTGTCAAGTGCCCAGTGATGGAATTACATAACCCAGAGTAATAACAGCAGAAGCAGAGCCAGAGCCAGAGCCAGAGCCAGAGCCATACAGCAGTATAACCAAGAAATCCCTTCCTGTATAATGTGGGAGGAATTGAGGTGTATTCTTTCCGACAATGCCTCGGCACTGGTTCCGTAAGGATGTGAGCCAGCCCAGGTAAGGTTCCTTTCTAGACGAGCCGTTTTGAGTACACGGAAGTACTGCCGAGCATCGAGGATGAGAATGCCTATCGCATTCGCATGATAGACAAGGGTAGAATTCCCAATATGACATCTTTGCGACCCTCTTTCCTTGAGATAAGGCAGGGAAAGAAAAGGCATCCACCAGCGGTATCCGTACTTATTCAAGGGCGCATCAGCCAACTCTTCTCGAAAACGGTCAAAGGGCCCGATATCCGTACCTACTTAGGTAGGTTCCATTCCCAGACTGGGGGCCTGGGTGGACCGATGGAACGGGGAAGAGATCGGAACAGCGGGGGAATGTTGTTCCCCTGTCATCGCAACCTGGAACCTCAATGAGGTCGGGTGGACTTGAAAGTTGACGGGATGGGACCCCCGCGACCGAGGGGCTGCGCTAACCCCAACTTGGCACTAAGTAAACAAAACAGATTTGACAACCCAAGTGGCCAGGGCCCGACCGTCCCTCTGTGCAGACAGACTGCAGCCCGCATGTACACGGCCACACCACTTCGCGACGACCCTTATCCAGTGCATAGAATTTGACATATTCCTATTGCTAGTTTCACGCGAAGGCCACTGAGCCTAGTTTCCTGCCGTCCTTTCTTCTTCTTTTGCAGAAAAGTCTATGCGACAACCATAGCGCGCGGCTTTTTTTTTTTCTCCCTCTTGGTTCCTTTTGCATTTGCATTCACGCATTTCTCAAAATGGCGACGCCACGACCTAGAGGCGGCAGCGACGAGCTGCTTTCGTCGCCAGACCCGCTCAACGACACCGTCTCCTCCGCGCTCTACCCTTCATCGCGTCGCGTAACTCGAAGTCAGAGATCACAACGACTCTTTTCCCTCGGTGGCAGTAGCATTTCGCCTAGAAAGCAAATGTTCGAGCTCGAGGTTGGAGATGACCGTCAGCCCAAAAGGCTGCTAGTGACCGTTGAAGCCGAAGGCGATTACGAGAATGTCGGCGTCGGGAATGTTGGGCGCAGACTGTTCAACGCAGATACACCCACCCTTAGCCGCGGCGCATTCACAACAACGGTTCCTCTGGCCGGTGATAGGAAGAACACGGCCGTCAAGACACCCGCGCGGAGGGGTCGACCTCCCAAATCTGCCGGAACACCAAAGACCGGTACAGCAACGAAGAGGAGGGCCACAGCTTCTCCACGAAAGACACCAAGACAAGCTCGCAGAGTCAAGACCATTACAGACTCAGATGGCTTAGAAACCGACATCACTATTCAAGGCACACCGAGATCAACCACCCGCCCAAGACGGGCCACCAGTCGCCAACCGAGCGAAGTCACCCAAGACCTAGCCCCGTCTTCGATACCCCCCAGCACAACCCGGCGTCGTGGCCGCCCAAAACGCGTCGAATTTTCCGATCAACCTGTTGAAACGGTCGAGGACGATATTGACCTTGGCGGCGTGGCGCCTTCTGACGACGGTCTCGCAGCGAGCATGGAAGACATGGTTGTAGACGATCCCACGCCGAGACGAGAGCTCCCCGCAAATCCGATGCCGGAATCCGAACCAGATATCTGGATGCAAACAATGTCGGACCAAGCGACACCACGCGCATCAACACAAGAAAACCCAATTGCCCTTAGCCCGACACCAGCTTACATGCAAGACAAGAGTCCAACACCATCCGAACAGCTTCATTCCGAATCCGAAAACGAACCCGCCTACAATGAATATGACTTTGCGCCAGGCGCACCCAGCGACATCTCGTCACTGATTGGCGATAACGACGGCAATGACAAACTTCGTGATCAGGATACCGTTGCCCAGGGCGAGGATTTCAGTATGATTTTCGCTAACTCCATTCCCTCCATGAGAGGCCACATGAGCATGCATGACCTTCGATCTGAAGATGTTGGTGAGGAGACTGGCTTGATCGTCAACCAGACCCTCGAGACTTTGAGGCGAAGCGGGGCCCTGCACATTGATGATGATGAGGATGAAATCGAAAGCATCTCCACCAAGCAGCCCTCACCGGTACAAGATCTTCAAGCTCAAGAGGAAGAAGTTCAGTCGCAACAGGATATTCAGACGCATGTGGACTCCGTTGTGGACACCAATGTTGAAGAAATCGATTCTCCGGTCGCTCTTCCATCGCTCCCTCGTCCGGATCTCCCACCTCCTTCTCTCACAGCCAAGGAGACGACACCAAGCAGAGGATACCAGTCACCGGGCCGAGCTAGAAGCAGTCCTCGACGCAAGTCTATTCCGCTCAGCAGACAGCTCATGGAGTCCAAGGTCAAGCAGATGGATGCGGAGAACTCCAGGCTGGAGGGCTCGAGAATGGACACCTCGCAGATTGACAACTCGTTTTCCAGCGTACCCTCGAGGGTTTTAGCTGCAGCGACACCCGGTGCTAAGAGCACCCGGCGGAGCTCAATGGTGAACGAGGAGATGTCTGTCATGTATGAAGACGATTTCTCTGAGATCCCGGAAGCCTACTTGGATGCTGCTACGCCTGGGAGACCGAAGCTGTCTGAAGTCAACGACCTTGAGACGCAGAACGAGCTCGAGCAAGAGATTGAGCGAGAGGCCGACATCACTCAGGCACACGAAGAGACGTTAATGGACGAGGTACACGATGAGACCATTATGGATGAAGCACAGGAAGAAACCATTATGGACGAGGCACACGAAGAAACCATGATGAATGAGGCACCAGTGGAAGATCGCGGGGAAGAGGAAGTCGAGGCTGAAGAAGCGGAAGAGGCAGAGGAAGAGGCTCGTAAGAGTTCACCCAAGTCCGCAGCCCCATCTATTGCGAGTGTTTCTTACACTCGATCAGACTCAGCAAGAATGCCGACACCGGACGACACGCCGTCACCCGCCGATGTTCCCGTCCCTCAATCAGACGCCAAGACTATCGAAGCAGTTCAAAGTTCGCCGACTGCTGCGTATTCTCAGTTGCCTGAAGAGCCAAGCTCTGATCTCCCCGTCCCTGACTTGACGGCTAGTCTTCCTGCGGCCTCGAATGAGTACATCACGCCCGTTGCCCCTATCTCGTCCCCGATCCCATCGCCCGATGTCAACCTCCTGGCACCTCGCGCAGCATCACCGGACAACGGAGCTCGTCCTACGCTATCTCCTATTGTTAGGGCTGGACGGGCTCTGCAGAGCGTTACCTCTGATGCATCATCACCTCCTCGCCAAAACTCTCTTGGTAGTCCCTTCAGGCCTACAACAAGCAGCAGCCAGCCTCAGTCTGCCGCCAAATCGACTCGCAGCTGGACTCAGCCGTTGTCCACCTTGATCCAGGCTGGAGCTCAATTCTTTGGTTCCCCAACTCGCACCGCACCGCAGCCTCAGCCTCAACCCCCAGCGCCGCAATTATCAGGACAGCCCTTTGACGATCCATTTGGCACTGAGAACGACCACACTGGCCAGCCTAGCTTTATGGAGGCCTTGAGTAAGAGCATGCGGACTTCTCCCGCCAAAGAACCCGAGGTCTCGTTCTCAATGTCAGGATCCCTACAAGTCGCTCCAGGTGATGAAGTCGATGAGATGAGCTGGATGCAAGAGGCTCCTGCCCCACGTGAACAGCCTTTTGCCCAGTCACGCCCATTCCATTCTAGTACGAACACGGCTTCTAGATCTATGCATAGTCGGCGACAGAGTTTCGAGATCAGTCTCGTTAGTCCGGATCGTGCCGAGGATACTGAAGTCGAAGAAGAACAGCCTGAAGTAGAAGAAGAGGAGGATGATGACATCTGGGCAGTAGAAGCATCGCGTCCGGCTTCAAACCTGGGCCGTCAACAGTCTTTTGCGAAGCACTCAGTACCGTCTCTTGCCCCGAAGCGAGCAGCTATTCCTAGACCCTGGCAGAAATCCGCCGAACCAGTCCCCAAGCAGACGCTGTTCACGCCGGCGGCGGCACGAAACCGAACGTCAGACTTTGCCGATGGCGAGGTAGAGGATTTCTCCATGCTTTCCCAACAACAGAGCCGCCAGAAGCAGATTCCTCAGAAGGCTTTTGAAGTTGCCCAGAGGTCGTCCGCCAAGAAGGATCTGGCTGCTTTCTTCTCTTCTCCCAATCTCTTGCCCGGAGCAGAGGGCGTCAAGGAGATCTTGGACAAGAAGCGACTGAATCTCCAAGGAGCTGATGCTCAACGCCCCGAGCGGGTTGACGCCGGTCTCGAGACGAACTCCATGTTCCCGTCTATCCCGCAAAAGGCTTTTGCCCCCTCGGCCAGCGGCCGTTCGGATCTCTTCTCACCCGCGAAGCCTTCGGCAACCAAGTCTGTCGCTGATACCTACGATTACTCGGATCCCGTATCGGCAATCAAGCCGTCTGTTCTGGGGAAGTCGGTCATGGACACCCGTCGGGAGCTGTTCGGGTCAACATCGAACCCCCGTAGTAGCATCAGACACCGGTCCGAGATCCCAGACTCCCAGCCCAACATGTCGGACGAGGTATCCTTCCCCTCCGTGCCCCAAAAGAAGAACTTTACGCCAAACGTGGGGTCCCAAAAGACGACCGCCCAGAACAATCTCTTGAGCAAGGCCCCCTCAGCGGCGCCGGTGCCCTCCCTGACGCCGGTGCGGATGCAGCTCACGCGCGCCGATATCCAGAAATGGCAAGAGAGTAGTGCCTCTGCCATTGCGGAAAGCTCGCCCACCGCCACCGGCGCCGCCACATCGGAGTCGGAGTCGGAGCACCGCGCCCGCGTTCTCCGCCCACTGCCCGACAGGAACATGTCCCCTACAAAATCCTGCCTGCGGTCCCCGCTGAAGCCCCGCACGCCGGGCCGCGTCGTCGAGTTCACGAGCAGCGTCCTCTCGCCGCTCGCGCAGGCGCAGGTCCGCGCTGAGCGGCGGTTATCTGCTAGTTCGAGTGGGAGCGCCGCTGCTGCGCAACAGCAGCAGCAGCAGCGTATCGCCGCCATCATGGAGGAAGAAGTCAAAGAGAATGGTGACGTTGTCGGTGCCGAAGCCGAAGCCGTCATGGAGGAAGATCAGGAGATGAACGAGGACATCTCCATGACCGACGCACCACAAACGCTCAACGAAACCCAAAAACAAGCACTCCTCGTCCAAGAGCAACAGCAAGAACCCCAACGTCTCTCGCAGACAATGTGGTCCCGCGACCACTGGCTCCTCCTCGACGACATCATCCAGCTCCGCCGCGAGGGTCCCTTTGATTTCGAGTTCCCCGACGACTTCACGAGCAAGTCGGCCTGGCTCCTCGGCCGGTCCGTCAACTCACACGGCGCCAGCTTGAAGCTGGAGCAGTGGCACCTCGACGTCGTGGACGCGTTCCAGGCCGAGGTGGGTGTGTGGAGCGAGGAGGCGCTTGCCAAGAGGGTGTTTTCGCTTATTGTTGGGGAGGAGCTCCGGAGGCAGGGAAGGGCGCCCAAGGCTCCTTCGGTGAGGTTTTTGTAAAAAGAGAGAGATTGGCTGTGCATAAATCACGAGGGTGATGGGTGTGCATACTGGGCGTTTTGTTTTTGGGGGGCAAAGTGTCACTGCTTAATGTTGCAGGACGTATGAATTTCATGACAGTCTCATGGTCAATGAGTGTATACAGGCTCACCACGTTTATAAGGGGAAGGTTTGGGAGGCCTGGGCGTCATAGGGCATCGTTGTGTCTTTTTTTGGTTTTTGTTCTTTGTCTTCATTGGTCACTCGGGCACCTTGCCCGCAAAATTGTTAGGATACCACTTCATCAGAATGAATTTCTGTCTCATGCACCGCCGGCATTCGTGTCTATGGTAATAGTACAGTCCCAAATCCATTCATTCCGCTTTGCCCATCCCCGATTGCCAACCCTGGACGCCTGCCTTGCCATTTACTCGAGCATGGAGGCCTGGTTGGTGTAGAGGACATCCACCACGCTGCTCAGCTTCTCAACCGTAGCCAGGGCGTGGTCATATGCGCTGTCGCGCTCTGTCTCGTCATAGATGATGAGGCATCCCGCGCCCTGGTCCAGCACACCGATGATGACCTTGTCCAGGATCATCTGGGACAGCTTGCGCTCCACCTGTTGCGTATCGAGGCCGACCATCTTTGCAATGTGGCTGATTTCGACGCGGGAGAAGGGCTCGATAACCTTGATAAGGTTTTGCTCCAACATGGCGTCATACAGACGTCGCAGGTGATTACGGATGAAGGCGTCGCTGCCGAGCTGCTCACGGTACGACTGAAGGGCCTGCTCGTACTCCTCCAGGGACCGGTTTGAGTGCGCACGCGCAACGGCCTTCATGGCTTCGAGGTTCTTGCTGGCGTACTTCTGTGCCTGCTTGGACGTCATCAGGTTGTTGACGTCGTCGGCCAGGTTCAGCATGATCTTGCACAGAAGCATGTACTGGAGGGCGGCCGTGGCCTTGACGGACTCGTCCTGGGTGTGGTAGCCATCGAGGGCCTCGATAAAGTAGGAGAAGGCAGTGTTGAAATCCTTGTCTTCGGCGTGGAGCATACCGCTCTGCATATCGAGGTGGGCTTGGAGAAGGGGCGGGGTGTAGACGGAGGCGGCGCTCGTGCGGGCACTGGTCAGGGCGGCACGGGCTTTGGGGATGTTGCCGAGGGCGTGGTAGACACGCGACTCGAGGAGCTGGACTTCGACGAGGACGAGCTTGTCGTCCAGGCGCTTGAGCTCACGGAGGAGGCCGTTGATGAGGGTGAGTGCGTCGTAGTAGGATTGCTTCTGCATGAGGAGCGCGACCAGGCGGGTCTCGAGGTTCTGGCGCAGGAAGCTGCGGCGCTCCGAGGTTGCCCATTCTATACATGACTTGGTAACTGCGATCTGGATGTCGGTGCTGCCCTCAATCTTCTCAAAGAGGTCAAGCAGGGAGCGGACTGGAGAGGCTCTCGTTAGTCACGCCGCTCTATCACAACTGGGAGGAACACCGATATAAATCCATACCAAGCTTTGCTGTCTTTGCCTTGGCGAATGACGAAAGGGTTGTCCGGCTTTTTGTGATCAGGTCAACGAGCTCCTGCGTCTTCCTAAGCGGGCTGTTAGCAAACATAGGGCCCCACGATGTCATCACAAGAGCAAGGAGGGGCTCACTTCTCATCCCGGTACAGCTCTCCCAAACCAAGCAACGCCGTCTCGTACTCCTTCACCGCAGCATCGGAGGTTGCGGAGGAGGGGGGCTGAGAGATGATTTCCTTGAAGAGCTGCTCTGCCTTTCTGGGATCTGTCTTGGCCGCCTTCTGTGCCTCCTGCACCCTCGCCGATTCGCCCTGAGCCATCCTGACTGATTGATTTGACGTCGTATCGAGAAGTCTGGGTTCGAATTGGATTGCTAGATTGAGCTTGTATGTCGTCGGTAGTGGAAAGTGGTGGTTTGCAGAAAGATCGCCGGATTCGTGGTGGGTTGAAGGTAGCTAGGTACAGTGTCAAGAGCTCCAGCCGCCGCCTTCAGACAGGTCCAGGTTGCCATGACCGACGCAAGCCCGGCCAGCACCTTCGGTGGGCTGAAAGGGCAGGGGCCACACGGACCGAGGTTGATCCGCTACTCTATCTGATTGGCAAAAATCCACCGATAAGACCCCACCCCCACTTAAATTTTGGGAGAAGTTCGATGAGACTTTCGGGACCATTGAGGATTCTATGGTCAAGCAAGACACAGCATCGCGCCCGCCAACATGAAGATCAAGGCCATTTCTCGGAGCGTGGAGGCCTACCAGCCTCCAGGCGCAACTGCGCAGAAGCTTCCTCGGTAATTATACACTACTGGCATCTGCAGACCTTGGCTAACCGCAATGCAGCAACCTCGATCCCGCCCAGCATCCTATGGAGCGCGCCAGAGAGTGAGTAGGCTTCGCCACATGTTGTGATCCAAGCTGACGAATACATACAGGTACACCAAAGCTTTGAATGCTGTCAAGCTCGAACGCATGCATGCCGCGCCTTTTGTCGGACAGATGGGCAGCGGCCATGTCGAAGGAGTACGTCCAAAACGAGAAGCACATCGCCTGTTGTCCCCGGATTTAACAATTGAACCAGGTGTACTCGATGGCCAAAGACCCGAACTCTCTCAAGCACATGGCATCGGCCAGTGCCGACGGTGTGATCAAAGCTTTCGACCTGACGAGCCGAGCCGAGATTTGGCAGACGAAGAACGCCCATTCCAACATCGTGCGGAGTCTCTGTTGGACGAAGGACGGAAAGCTTCTTAGTGCCGCGGCGGACAAGACCATCAAACTTTGGGATCCCTATAACACGCCAGGCGAATCGCCCCCAATTTCATCGTGGGACGGCACCAACGGTTTCCTCAGCTTGTCCCATCACCGGACGCGAAATGCCTTTGCGGCCTCCTCTTCCTCCAGCGAGATCGCCATCTACGACCTTGAGCGACAGAGCGCGGCACCCGAGGTGCTGCGCTGGCCGAATGCGACCGACTCTATCAACTGCGTTTCCTTCAACCAGGTCGAGCAATCCATTCTTGGAAGTACCGGCGACGACAGGAGTATCGTCCTCTGGGACGTCCGTACTGCGATGCCCCTGACCAAGACAACGATGACGTTTGCCTGCAACTCCCTCGCCTGGAACCCGATGGAAGCATTCAACTTTGTTGTTGGCAGCGAAGATCACAACTGCTACGTCAGTCACCTGAAAGTTGGACGACCCCTGAACATACAGTTAACAAGAAGCAGATGTTCGACATGCGCAAGTTCGACAGAGCGCTCAACGTATTCAAGGGCCACGTCGCCGCCGTCATGAGCGTCGAGTTCAGCCCGACGGGTGAAGAATTGGTTTCCGGATCCTACGACCGAACAGTGCGCATCTGGAACCGCGACCAAGGACACTCCCGCGACATGTACCACACCAAGCGCATGCAGAGGGTGTTCAGCACCATGTTCTCTCCCGATTCAAAATACGTCCTCAGTGGTTCCGATGACGGCAACGTCCGCGTCTGGAGAAGCAACGCCACGGACAGGTCAGGCATCAGATCCGCCAAGCAGAGACAGGCGCTCGAGTACAACGAGGCCCTGGTTGAGCGATACAGCCACATGCCGGAGGTCAGACGCATCAAGAAGCACCGTCACCTGCCCAAGGTCATCAAGAAGGCGGGCGAGATCAAGAACATTGAGCTCTCGTCGATCAAGAGGCGCGAGGAGAACGAGCGCAGACACACCAAGAAGCAGTTCGAAAGGCGGAAGGGTGAGAGAGAAAAGCAGATCTTGGCGCGTGAGAAATAGGCGCATCCTAGATTTGCCATTATTGGCGTTGTTCCTTTGCATTGTTCGGCGTTAGGGGCGGCTTGTTATGTCCATGTAAAAAGGAAAAGGCGGGATAGTAGTGTGAAAAGTGCAACTTAGATGGGGTTATACCACGGATCAACTCGTTTTGGTCAAAATATGTAGCAATGATCATGAAATAGAATCATGAAGCAGGCCTATTAATCTCATCCATTTGATCATGACCAAGGTATGCAACGAAGCATCCAAAGCTGAGTCGCCGGCCTCCGCATGTTTATGACGGCCGATATGTCCGCCGGCCTCGGATAAGCTTACCTTAGCTTGACGGCGGCACTGAGTGGGGTCTCGGCTTGTCTGGCCGTGGAAGATGGGCGGCTGCCAGGGGCTCCGGGGCGTTTTAGTGGTCGTCCCACCAGGGGTTTCCAGGGGAAGCTGCCACCAGGGGAGGGGGCCCCTAGGGCGCTTGGCCACCGTTTCAACGCCTCAGGTCCATCCACATGTGACGAGTTCCCGCCAGAGCGTCAAGCTCCCTTGGTGGCCCAATTGATGTTTGGGTGTCCGCTTCTTCGTCTCATCTTTGTGCATTTTTCCACTTCCAACGCTGGACGACAACCTCTTCACTTTTTTTTCCCCGAACCTCTTCTTTTCATACTCCCATCCTAATTCTCAAAGTTGAACGAAGCGCGATACATATACGACCTCTCTTAATAATCGACTCTCGGAAACGACGTAGAGCTCCTACACGGCTCGACCCCTCGCACCACCAACATCCTCCCCCAGACGCCCGCGATGGAATACCCGCGCCCACCCCAAGGCGACTCGTGGTTCGCGCCGCTCTCGCTCGACCTCCTCGTCAAGGTCTTCAAGATCACCTTCTTCCACCCCTTCGTCTCGTGGATCATCCCCCTCTGCTTCCGCGCCCAGGCCCTCCGCTGGGACGCCCCGCCCATGCTCGTCTCCATCGCCTGGGCATGCTTCATCACCGTCTGCTGGATCGCGCAAGCGGTCAACCTGCGCATCGCCTACGGTCTGCCGCGCGAGGTCGACCTCACCGAGGAGGTTATCGTCATCACGGGCGGCGCTAGCGGCTTAGGTCTCCTCATCGCCGAGGTGTACGGCATGCGCGGCGCGACTGTGGCGGTGTTGGACGTCAATGATATGGAGAACGGCGAGGCGCGGGGCGTCACCTTCTACAAGTGCGATGTGACGGACAAGGCGCAAGTTGCGAGGGTTGC